TGTCGTCTGAACCGTATACAAAAGACGACATGAGGTCAAATATATGGAAAGAGGACTTTCGCCAAATGAGAGCTGAGGCATCACAAATAGACTGGGATGTTCTCTTCTCCGGAAACGTTAAGGAGGACTGGAATTTATTTAAGGATCGGTTGCTGCATCTAATGAAGTGCCACTTTGCCGTATCAAAGCCAAGGACATCCAACCGCCCATAGTTGGTAACACGTAAACTCAAAAATGAGACCAACGAGAAAGGAAGTTTGTGAAGGAAATTTCTCGAAATCGACTACATTGCAGCGTTTGCGGAATATAAATCTCAAAGAAATAAGGTAAAATGCCTGATTTTAAAGAGGCGACGGGATTTCGAGAGTAATTTGCTCCACCAAGCCGTTAAAAATCCGCAATTGCTTTACAGCTATTTACGGAAGTGAACAAGCAACAGGAATCCCATTCCAGTCATGAGGAATGATGACGGTTTGGAAATATCGGACAGTAGGAATAAAGCTGAGCATATTTCTTGATTGTTCCAATCCGTTTTCACAAGAGAAGCAGACTTTATCCCAAGTAATTCCGAGAACATGTTAGATCCCACTATCGAGGATATCGGGTTTCGAGAAGCAACGAATTAGGAAGAACAAAAAAGCTTGAAGGAATGTAAATCTCCCGGTCCGGACGAGATCCCAGCAAAGCCGCTTTTCAAGCTTGCCCGAGAGCTAGCCAAACCAATATCCTTTCTTTGCCAGGAATCCTTTGATGCTGGAATTGTTCCCACAGACTGGAAGACGGCCCACGTTAAACCCCTTTACATAAGTGGTAGTCGTGCTCTTGCAACGAACTACAAACCCGTCAGTCTGACATCAATCTACTGCAAAGTGTTGGAGAAAATCATAAAAAAAGGTGATGACTTATCTGGAAAGCCAAAACCTCTTGTCCAATGAACAATATAGTTTCCGTAGGGGAAGATCATGTGTAACGAACTTACTATATACAATGCAAAGTTGGACAAGAGCACTGGACACAAAACACAAATTGCTTGTGGCCTATATTGATTTCCGGAAGGCGTTCGACAGTGTTCCGCACCAGCGTCTCCCGCACAAGTTGAGAATTATGGACATCGGTGGAAAGCTTCTCAAATGGATCGAAAACTTTCTTGTCGGCCGTTCCCAAATTGTCTGTGTAGAACAACAGCAATCAAGGTGCTCATTCATAAAGAGAGGAGTTCAACAAGGCTCGGTACCCGGACCAACCCTCTTTCTCTTGTTCATCAATGATTGTGTAGATGGGTTGGACTGTAATAGTGCCATGTTTGCGGATGACGATTTGACGAGTGGTCCCGCAGATGGCTCTTATCCTTCAATTTGGACAAATGTACCATACTGCCTCTTTGGAAATCAGACCCCTAGTACGCGACAATACCATCTGAACGGAAAACCATTTCGAGAGGCATAAACGCAGAAAGATCTTATAGTCTGGATTGCAGACCGCCTAAAGCCTTCTACACAATGTTGTAAGGCGGCCAAGGCCACAACTTTAATGCTATAGGCCACCAAGCGGACATTCGCAGTTTTCGATGAAGACTGCTTCTCCAAAGTCTTCGGCACGTTTGTAAGACCTCATCTCGAATATGCAATTCAGGCCTTGAGACCGTGGACACATCAGGATTACAACCTGCTCGAAAGGGTGTAGAGGCGAGCAACGAAACTAATAAGAGGTCACAGTGCACTGCCATGCGAGATCCGCTTAACCAACCTTAACCTCTATCCTGTGAGTTGTAGGCAGCTGCGCGGAGACTTGATACAAACTTTCCCTATTGTGCGTGGCATGGACTGCGCCCTTCGGTGCGATGACTTTTTCCAACTCGCCACAACAACTAAGCTCTGGGGGGACATCCGTTCAAGCTACGTGTGTCCCAGGGTAGACTGAATGTGAGGAAGTATTTCTTCTCCAACCGTGTCGTGGAACCGTGGAATAACCTGCCCGAGACGGTTTTTATGTCTCAATCTGCGGCGACATTTAAATGCCGGCTTGACAGACATGTGCTGCAGCAAGAAGCGGACTATGTGACTTTTTCGCCATGAAACAAGTTACATATGGGAATCAATGTCTGCATTCACTTAGTGCAAAATTTCTTCACTATTTTCTTATTTGTCGATTTTTTATGTACAAATAGGGAGTTAAAAGGAGTAAGCGTATTTCCCTCAAATACACTGACTGACTGGCTGACCTCTTTAAGACATCATATCCACCCAAGACGTAACAGTCACCGTGAGGTCTTTTTATTTCTTCCTCTGGCACGTACTGTTAAATATCGTCGGCTCTTTTCTGTAAATGCAATTGCTATTTGGAATAAACTACCCATGAGTGTGAAAAGTTTGCAAAATTATCCTTCATTTGAGAGAAGTTCCATTTTTGCATTCAGAAAAGCTCCCACAAGTTATGGGTGCTGAATCCACCGACCGACTGTACCGTAGCGATGGCGTTTGTGGTCTCTGAACACTATGGCCAGTCTCACCAGGACAATTTTGTTGGCCAAGAGCGACAGCTGTTCCTCAACGCCTCTGCTTTGAGTATCCCCAACTTCATGAAAGGAATTGATGTCCGATAATCTCCGATACTGGTCAGACGGTCGAAAGTCTGCCGCCAGCAGTTTTTTCTCCTGAACCCTCCAAACCATAAAAACCACCATCAACTATATTTTTATTCCTTTACCACAGGAGTTTTTTCACTGCTGGTCGGATTTGTGTTTAACTCTTCCCTTGACAGTGCCTGTAAACTGGCATTAAATAAAAAATAATTATAATTATGATTTTAAAACCTCTACAAGAGAACCGTGAAGTTCCAGAGCTTCCTAATTAGCCAGGAGTATTCTAGGTGACGCTTTATCGAAGACTTTACTAAGATTAAAATAGATAACCTCCACAGACAAATTATAATTACAAAGAGAAATAAGTAGATTGATAAACGTCATAAGAGACGTTTCCTAAGAACAGTAAGATAAAAAACCATGTTGTGAAGGCCTAAAAACCGGATTGTCCATACAAAAGACGATAATTTTTTTCGAAGACTTTGGCGAAGCAGGTGTTTTAAGTACACCTCGATAGTTTTGAACATCAGAAAGACAGTCAGATTCAAACACTGGAATAATAATAGAAGTTTTCCAATAGTTAGGATAGAAGCTATTTTCGAGAAACATCTAGGAATAGTTTGCTAAACGGACGAGAAAATTTCTTAGCTGTTGTACAGGGGTTGGGAAATCAGACTCTTCACATTCCCGGACTGGAAATGGGAAGAGAAAGCAGGCTCGACCACTATCAACCACTTATTCCAAAAACTTTACTCCTTCGCGTCTCCCCGCTACAGAACCACTATGTTAAAAGGCTTCCGTTAACTTCGCTACACCGCATTATATATCAGTCTATCAACCAATCACTTTCCAGCGCGCTGAAACATTCCGCATCTGGCGCCAGTTTTTTGCCGCAGGTAGTGTTTTGTAGCTGAAATTCGGTTAGGCTCTGCTGATCATTCGTGAACTCAATTTATCCGTCATTTAGGGCAGATTCGTTCATCATTTTCAGTGTGGGCTTACGTGTTTGTGTTCTCGACTTCACGTTCGAAGGGTATATAATTCTGCCTTAGACCGCGAAGAATGTAGCCTTATAAGTCTTATAAGAGATCTCTTAGCTTTAAATAAATAAATAAATAAACATATATATACATTAAAAGGAGAAGACTCGTCGAAAAATCGAGGTATACTCGTGAATTTTCAAGTCGGTTATACCAACCCGTCGTCACACGATTTTCCGACGAGCCTTCTCCTTTTATTATATATATATATTATATAATATATAATATATATTATATATATAATATATATAATATATATATATATATTATATATATATAAATGGAAAGACCGCCGATCGCTGAGAAGGCTGCCACCTCATCACCTAGCACCTGCACAGAAAAGGCACGTAACTGTTTTGTCGACTGCTTTACAAGTCCTAAGTGGATGAACACACCGCTGCCCAATGCCGTTACCGGTGGCATATCACTCACTCCGCCCAGTTGTGTTCGTGCGTCCAAGGACATCTCAGAAAAGTCAACTGGCGTCAACCGTCACCTAATTCTCAGCAGACTTGGTAGGTAATTGCGAAGTATTTTGAAGCGCACATCCTACGCCCACAGTTCGTCACGTACGACTAACTCCTCTTTAGTTTCGAGGGCCGTAGGAGATTCTTCAGACTAACTGTGCCGTGGCACAGCCATTAAAGCCGATTCACCATTGGAAGAGGACGTACCGGTGTCTGTTGACCAACTGCTGGTAGGCAAACCCCTCGGCGAAGAGGATGATGAATGGGACGAGTAACTTTCCCTCATATTCTTCGCGTTAATTCGCGTAAAAGGCTTCCGACCCTTTGCTCAATACGCCTACAATGAGTTTTCCGCGATATTAACCTGTACATCTAAAATAGACTGCGTAAAAACCCCAGTAGTACAGGTCAAAAAAGAGGGTTAAGACGGGACAGAAATGCGTTAGCGCAGTAACGTGAGAAGGCAGGAAATGACATCTAGGTTTGAGCGCGAGAAAGCAAGCACGCCCTGGGAACCTTGCTGCTACGACTACAACCAACCAGTCAGCCTGAACAGTTAGCGAACTAGACAGTCCGGTAGATAAAGCAATTGCCTAGCCTAGGAACCAGACAGTCTCGTCCTCTACAGCTACGGCCTACTTCGAGGGCGCCCTCGACGCCCAAATATTAATGCGCCTGCGGCTCACCATCTACAAAGGAGGACTGGATATCAGAGCACCTTTTGGAAACCGTCCTCAAAGAGGGATAACTTTGCAAATATCACCATTACATTGGCCTTCCTAAAATTTTCCCAGTTTATGTAATTATCTAGGCGGACCTCTGCACTCTTCGCATTGTTGAACCCGCGAATAACACCACTTTTATCAGCAGTCAAATCTCTATATCTTCCATTTTGCTCCTACATCTGTCTGTTTTTCGTGCTCATTCTGGTTAGTCATGCTACATGACGACATGCTGTAAAAGCTACTATGCTTGGTTCAAGCTTGACAGTCCGGTCGTCGCATTCGACTCTGTCCACCGTATGCTCCACAGCAGGGTCTGAACAGGGACGGCGACTTGTGCGTGATTTATAGTGGGAGTAAACTTGCGTTACATCCACCGAAGTCTTTATTCCTCACTCCCCACCTGGGACCCGGTGTCAAGACAGAGTCAAAAAGACCGGAGGCGGGGAGGGGGGCGCAGGCGGCTGACACGACTGAACCCGCACCTAGGCGCGTCACCAAATCCCCTGGTCCACAAAACACACTTGACCAGGATTTTAACCAAAAACGCCAAAAGAATGGAGGCTGGCACGACCGAAACCGCACCTAGGCGTGCCGCCACACCCGGCTCAGATCCCACGGAGTGCGAGTGCCATAAAGGCCACATTAAGAAGGAGCCATTTCAGCCTGACTCTTAGACCACCAGCCGGCCACTCCACTGAAACACACAACACTGGGCCGACTGCGAAGTCCACGTTATCCAGTCAGTCGAAAACCCTCTAAGCCACGGCTTTTGGCGCACCGTGATGGCTTCAGGCGCGTCAGATTGTTTATAGTGAGGAAAATGCGTTGAGTCGTCGACCTCACTCTCCCTTCCCATGCCCCAGCCACTGTCCGAGCCGGTCTGTTGACTGATGCGGGGAATGGGCGCAGTGGCTGACATATTTATTGACCTTGTCTGCGCGCGCCACATGCACGACCTGGCCCCCCAAACACAAGCACCAGGATTTAACACAACGAAGCTTGAGCGGCGTGTCTCCCACATGCGGAGAGGGCAGAGCGACGGGGCGCGGGTGTGGCCATTGCCATCCGGAACGACCTCGTGGGACGACTGTCCTGTCTGCCGCAGGGCATCAACGATCGTCTGGTGAGCTTCCGCCTGCCTCTTTGAGGAGGCGAATTTGCCACCATCATCAGCGTCGACGCTCCACCCAAGACTGGCTCTGACGCCGCAAAGGACAAATTATACGAGAACCTGCACGCCCTCCTGACGACTGTGTCGAAGGCGGATGATTTGATTGTCCTTGGTGACTTCAACGCCCGCGTCATCACAGACCATGCTGCCTGGAGAGGAGTGCTGGGCCCCCAGGCTATCGATGGCTCCAATGACAACGGCCAGCTCCTTCTACGAGCCTGCGCAGAACATCGGCTCATCCTGACCAACACCCGCTTCCGCCTCCCGATGTGGGAGAAGGCCACCTGGATGCATCCGTCAGTGTCCCCGTACCGAGGCGAGACTAGCGGGACGAAGGTGTTGGTCAAATATTTCAAAATTTAGATAAAAGACAAATGACACTACCTAAGTATACTTTCACGTGGGGAAGAGAGCATCAGTAAATGCACACATTTATAGGGGTGGAATGTAGACGCAAATTATTTCCTGTGATTTGGGAGGCAAGCCTCCCCTTCAGGATCATTCCTATCACTAGCAAATATTCTGTATGTATAACGAAAGCAGTTGCCTATTTGGTATCGTTTCCTTTATGGATCTTTCACTGCACCGCTGAAGTAATCACGTGCATCCTTACCAAATTACAAATATGGCTTTATTATTATCATCCTGTAGGAGGCAAAATCTCTCCCGTGTGGAATGCTCAAAAGATGAAATACCTAGTTGTGAGATAGATTTTATCATTCCAACAATGCTTTGAAAAGTGTCGTCAAGTATACATGCATCTCAGTACTTGCAGGTTTACAAAGCCTGATCGCAAAGTATGGCAGTCACTTCGTACCTAATCCGGAAAGCTGAGGTCTAAGCTGACGTCACATCAGGTACGCTCGATAGTGGTCAGAGTCACACAAAAGTGGAACTCACTGGCTTAGTTCGGTAGCAGAAGGAAGCCGGGTGAGGAACGGCCGTTGAAGAAGTCGCATTATGTGGATCCTGGGAAAGCACATCGAATTCTCCAAAAGATCCCAAAAACCCCTCCGTCGGAAGCTACTTGACATCTAATATCTCAGAAGATAATTCTAAAATTTCGCTGACCAAGTAAAAATGAAAGCTACAAGTAAAGAGAAAATGCGGACGGACAATTGCCATTCTGCCTATATCGTGCGCCGCTGTGCGACTCCTGGTTGGGCTCGAGAGAGAGAGAGAAAGAGAGAGCCCGTAAGGCACAACGGAACGAGTGAGTTCCGTAAGGACGATCGGTGAACGTCCCTTACCATTTTATATTCCGGATCGAAAATCGACAGGGCAGCGGGCTCATGACCCAGTGGTTAGAGGCGTGGACTTCTAGCTAACAGATCGTGAGTCCGAGCCTCGGGTGTTCCACACTTCGTGGTTGGGTATGACTGGCTGACGACGGCTAATAAGCCAGAAATGGCCATTCCAGTCTCCCTTGTCTTTGTCGGTGATGTCATTCTGCCTACATCATGCACCGCTGTGTGGCTGCTGGTTGTGCTTGAGAGAGAGCCCTTAAGGCACAATGGGACGAGTGAGTTCCGAAAGAACGATCGGTGAGCGCCCCTCTACCATTTTAGTGAAATCGTTTAACTTCACAGGTCTTTACGATGACAAATGTGTCATCTCCTTATCTGAGCCACATTTTTAACTGAACATTTTGCACTGCATCGTCTTCTAGTTGTCGTAAAATGAGTTCTGCGAGTAGCCCCGAAATTAGCGAGTCAATTGGGACGCCGTTAACCTGTTGTTAATACATGCCATTGAATTGAAAATATTTATTGTGGCTGAACTTAAGCATTTCTAAGGCTTGTTGTGTTGGAATGTCGATGGGATTGTCTTACGGGCGTCGAACTACACTCAATTGCGAAGCCATGTGGTACTGAGGAAAACTAGGCGACATCAACTGATAGAATGCTCTCATTCGGGACTTATCTGAAGACCTTGGATCTTTGAAGGAATGCCTGAGAGTTTGTGACGCTGTATATTGATCCATCCATAAGTGAAATCTTCGATACCTACTCATAACTTCCAGCACCTATATTAACATGTTATTCACTCTCGCCTGTTTCGTGGCTGTTAATTCGATGTCTCCGAGCACTCCAGTGCGATTATAATACTCCCCATCATTCATTTCGTCTGACGACGGGTTGGTGTAACCAGCTTGAACATTCACGACCACAACTCGATTTTTCGACTGGCCTGCCCCACTTGTCAGCGCGCCGAGAGCCATCGCATTTTTCGCTAGTAGGCGTTTCCGTTACGTTTTTCGCACTCTGCAACTGCGTACAACTCAACTTTTTCTGTACTTTTCCCCCCATAGGCCTTGCCCACTTGTTTACCTTCATCCGCCGCTTCAGTAGGTGGACTGTCGATATGCATATTCCGGGTATTGCCGCTAAAACCGTATTTTAAACTTTTCTGACAAACTTAGTGTCTTACTTTGGCGTTATGTCATGATGACGACTGACAGTGGTCTTCAATTCGAGTTAACCTTGTTACAACTTCTAAGTGACTGCTCCGTCTGGCAGAGAGCAGGCTGTTATCCTTCATCAAGTCAAGCCAGTCGATAAATCCATTGGTCAGCACACGTAGACACTCCTTAGCCGGTAACTAAGTCCCCTCATTGACCTTGCAAATACTACTCCCCAGTACAAGCTAACTGGTGCGTGCACTTGTTCGACGCTGACGTTTTTCTATTGCCGACTGGGGATTGGCCAGTTTGTTCATTGTCTTCTGCTACCTGGATGTTGTTTCATTTGGAACGGTTATATTCTGTCTGCCTTTTGACCGTCTCGACCCACTAAAAAATAGAAATCCTACACCACGACTCTGTCCATTGTGTTTATTTTTCTACATTAGTAGTTTAGAACAAAACAGTTAAGCCACCCCGTTGATCACTGTATTTTCACACGGTCTTCATTCTTGCTTCTACAAATGCATATCGCTGCTGGAAAGAATTTTCTCTAAATTGATTCGATGTTTATTTACGGTTTATTCACAATCTGTTCTCTTTATGATAGCTTTGATGGTCTTCCTATGCCATCGTCTCCCGAAAAGCTTCGCGGTGAGCGCATTGTTGCACTCTTTTCCGAATTCGTGCTCAAAGAACATCCGCTGATATTCGAAAACCATAAGGAAAACTTAAGTGCCGGAAAATGCTTCGTCCTCATTGTACACTTTCCTGCGCTTTGCGAATACAATAGCCTTTTTTCTCAACAACTGCTGTTAAATCCACGCCAGACCCTGAAACTGTTCAATGCTGGACTTCTGGATGCCGTCAAACAACATTTTGCTCCGCAAAAACCGGACTTCCTCCCTTCCCTACGTTGTTTAGTCCGAATTGCCTCACTTCCCCTCATCCCTGAGATTTATAGAACAGAGATCCCCTACTCTAACCAGGTGGGTCGCTTCTTTGCTCTTCAATGTACTGTCACACGTGTCGGACCTGTGCAGGTTGTGCAACTGCAACGAACTTATTCCTGTCAGAAGTGTGCCTTTATTTTTACTGTGCAGGCTGATCTTGCGGAGTACTTTGCTCTGCGACAACCTTCTCGCTGTCCAAACACGCTCGAGCACTGTCCTTCGACTAGCTTTCATCCCCTCAAACAAACCGAAAATCACTTGGAAAACTACCAAGAAATTCGTGTGAACGAGCAATTTAGCTGTCTATCTGTTGGCAAAATGCCACGCTCAATCTGCGCATGCTTGAATAATGACCTGGTAGACACCGTGCGTCCTGGTGATGACATCATTCTCAACGGAGTACTCACGCATCGCTGGCGTATTCCTCGTCCGGGGGCAGCCTGTGAAATCGAACTCGTGGTCGTGGCCAATTATATTGAGAACCGATCAGAGATGAAATATAGGGGTGAAACTGTGGGTGGCCTGTCGCGTGATGTTCGGAAGTGTTTTCTGGACTATTGGACTGAAGCCGACAGCTTTGCCGTCGCTCTTGATCTGCGAAATGAACTGCTGAAGGCTCTGTGTCCTGAAATTCATGGCCTCTTCCTCGTCAAGCTGTCCTTGGCCTTACTTCTAGTCGGTGCGCCACCATGCTTGGAGAAAGATGGTAGGTGGGTTCCCAATCCTTTCAAATCTTCACAACAGTTGATTTTATTTTCTTTTACGTACATCTTATCAAAAGAAAAGGAGGCGTTCACAGGGAGAGGTTTATTGGAAGTCTGAAGTTTCGAGTGGTTGTTTCTTCTACCCATCTTCATAGACTGGGAAGTCATGCGCACAGCTCGTGATTGTTAACTCACTTTCCACTGTTTTGCCGGAGCATATTTTCTCCGATTGTGCAAAACCTCACTTTCGTTATCAGGCCAGGCCTCCAGTCCTTGAATAAAGGATACTGTGTTATCAGGCGTGGCTGCTTTATCTGCCGTAAATATCTGCAGATCTATTGGCTACGTAGGTCGTCAACTAATCTTGTTCGGATTGATTGATTGTCGTGTCCAGTTGAAATAATCTGGGTAGGAAGTAAACTAACCAAATTATGAACCAGGTTTTCCTCTTAAGTTCTTTACGAATCCTAAGGAGACTGGTCCTACTGGTCTCAGCATCAGATCGTCCAGGCGACGAGGACCATCACTGCCTCGAGGGCTCACCAGCAACTTAAGCGTCAACGGGGTTTCGGTAAGGGAAATGTATCTATGCCGCTTTCTCCAACTACAACCGCCGCTTTCCGGTGACAGAACGAAGTCAAGGTAGTAGTAGATGAGTGTAGGCGCATTGGCTGACGAAGCTAAATGGTCCATTTACACGTCTTGCGTGCGACCAAATTCGTAACCCTTCATAAGCCAGTCTGCAGAGGGGGGGGGCATTGTAGCTTTATCCTCAGTCCTGAAAGGGATCGACTTATCCTGTCAGCTGACAACCATTGAGACCATGATTGTTAATGCGTCGCGTGAGTTTGAAAGCGCGTTTGCTTTTTTATAGTTCGGAAATTAAGCACTGAGTCCGAGCCAGATCTACCCCACACGTTTTTCCACCCATGTCTCTGTGACCTCCTCGTGGTAAGCTAGCCGAGGATGATCCGGGATGCGGAGGCCGAAGTGATATAAAATCGACGTCTAACGTGTTCCAAACAGAGGCTCGAATCTTGCAGATGTGTGAGGTTCAACTAAGCTCGATTGGCTAACCATCTGGTGTTTGTTCCAAGGGAAGACCGAGTTCACACTTCGAGAGGTATCATTTCAAGTCACGGCTTTTAGCATATTATGTCAATTTCGGTCGTGTCAGGTTTATAATAGCAAGAAATTTACTGGCTTATCATGAGTAAGCGTACCTCAGCATTGGCTTCAATACCCATAGCATGCACGAACAGCCAGTTCGGACCTATCGCCCAACTGGCAGCGAGATTGGGCGCAGTGATTCAGAGTGGAGAAGTCGTTGCATACTGTGTGTCACGCGTTCACACACCCTCGTGATAATGCTCCCATTGACTAGCTTCACAGCAAAGTCGATACGAAACGCGAACAACCCAGGCTGTCCTTTCTGCCTTTCTTGCAATCAGATTATATAAAAGGGAACGAGCTTCCCAGGAGGCATGTGGGAGAGCCCAAGGATGCAGACGGTAGTGATTGTTGTTTCGTTGTTTGCTTCAACAAGCCACGGTTAGCTTGCCGACGGAATGCTTAGCCAGCAATTTTTAGGGCGCCTTTCCTAGCTTCCCCCCATGAGGGGGTAAGTAGTGCTATCTCTAAGTAAGGCCGCTCAGTCCCCACAGACGGCTGCCACATTCCACGTCGCTTCACAACCTTTGTTCGGTGGGAAGACGACCCGGGTTAGCCTTTGCCGCCTACTGCTCTCTCCGTAACTTTTTTTATGAGGGTGGAGCAGGGGACTAGAGGTTAGTTCAGAGGCTGCCGGGTGTGAAGGCACACACGCCGGACACCCGTATCCAATTTGTCCTGCCAGTTACCGGAGTGTGTCCGCCTCGCTGAGCACGACTTCGTGTTGCCACAGATGGAGGCTGGGTGCCGAAAGGAGCGAAGCAAAAGTGTCTACCAGGTCCATCGGCGCGTTTCTTATATGAGCTTTCTATCACCGTGGTAGTGCCTGCGCTATCAGGCCTACTTGGCGTGGCGTATGCTATATTTTTTTGCGTGATAATTACCGGCGAAGTATATTCAGCGGGATATCGTGATTATTAAGTCATTCAGCCTCTTTCCAGTGGCAGCGACGAATCTGATTTGATCAATATACGTCACCGAGATCAATATATACAGCATATTTTTGCTGATGACTGAATGTTCACTGTGTCAGCGGAGGCAGAGATGCAGCGGTACGTGAACCTCTTCGCCTGCAGACAGAACCGTTCAGCTGATCATCAAAAATGACTTTGGTGATCAGCCAAAAATGCACCAATTCGCCCAACAACGAAGTCCATTTTAGCGATCATTGCATCGTTACTGTGCAGCAAACACCTGACCTGAAGCGTGGTTTCTTGGAACGCGACCGTCAGTGACAAAACGGCCACCAGAATCTCTAAAGCCACTCAGGCCTTTGGCAGTATAGGGCAGAGTCGCGCAATCAATGTCAAACTAAGTGCATACAGGGTGGTAGTATCGACTAGGCGGCCCTACGTCGAGTAAACATGGGTACTCTGTTAGGGTACACAACGGGACACAGCTACTTACATCTCGAGCCGTCATCGGGTGGTCCTGAAGACCAAGTGCCGGAATAGGACAGAAGTAATAGTGGACGGACACCTCAAAATGTTCATTTGAATGCGTAGGCATCAAGCAGGCTTCCTGAGAGTCTCTTTCATAGGATCGACAGATCTGACGAGCTGTCGTGAAAAATGGAACTTCAACCTTCGAAGCCGAATGAATACAGGGGCCAAGGCGAAGCGGCGACACGAAGAGTTTGGAATGTCGAGGAACAGTGTTGATAGCGCTCCACCTGTCCGCGCACATCCTCACTGGCAACGTACGTTTAGGGCTCGCGTTGACTTTATTTTACATTTTCATATGCAACATAATGATAGTAACAACTTGGACTCTATGCTGAGGACAATTATCTACAGCATTTTAACCAGAAAAGCTACGTTACGTCAACGTTCAGAAGTAGACAAACCAACGAGAGGACGTTTATGTCTAACCGGCCTCATCTAAATATTAACCTAACGTGTGCATTGCCAATTCTTCGTTCCTGCCCAGCTAGAGTCCAGGGGTCGGACTACCGCCACGACTCCTGCCGTCAAAGCCTCTGAACCATCATCAAAACCATAAACAACCTGGTGGAGATCGCCATTGTCGTTTACGACGAGTGAGCTGCCCTCCTCCTCTTCCCTCCATCATAATGACAGTATGAATAATAATAATAATAATAGTAATAATAATAATAATGCTCAGGGGCTCGTGGGGGCAATCGCTTACCCCCCAACGCGGGCCCTGGTTCTTTGGACCATGCCACTCGCATTGTGGGTTCCTTGGTTATATCTGACTTCTTGATGTTGGATAGTCTCACATTGTGGGTAGGTGTCGTTTATGGGCAATGAATTCCCATTCTATAGGCAGAATTTAACAGGCATGTGTGACTAAGATAAGACGGAGCTTTTTAACTATACTGTATTCAACGGGCAGTTTAATTAGCTCGAATGAAAACGACCAAAAACACACACTAATCCACCTCAGTCTATATTGTACCACGTCAGATTTAAGGCTGTTGCCGCACTGTCATCGTTCACTGTGCTTTATGTTCTTTCTCACAAAGTCTATTAAACCGTTTACGGAATTGTTTACTACAGGTACTGTCTAGACTCGTACTAATTTCATTCCAAAATTCATATCTAGGGCTGTTGATGGTGAATCATAAATGACTATTATTGGCATGACAGTGACAGCACCACTGGTCTTGAGGGCAAATTAGACCAAATAGGGTTCTGGTATTATTTTAGACCAGAAAAACAAGGAAAACAATGAAGGCCGGGCCTCGGAGACGACTGCTCTAGAGAGGTTTCGCGTGCGGGGTAGTCTGCATCTCCTGCTCGTGGGCGAACCGGGCACGGCGAAGTCTGCTCTCCTGCGCGCTTCCTGCCGACTTGCCGGACGGGCCATTCTGACTGCGGCCACAGGCACTACAGCTGCTGGCCTGACAGCGGCTGCCATACGCGACTCTTCCGGCTGGGCGCTCGAAGCGGGCGCACTGGTACTCGCTGACGGTGGTCTCTGTGCCATCGACGAGTTCGGCAGCTTGCGCGGCGCCGATCGGGCTGCTGTGCTCGAGGCCATGGAGCAGCAGACTGTGAGCCTCGCCAAGGCAGGTCTCCTGGCGCGTCTCAATTGCCGTTGTTCGGTCGTTGCCGCAGCCACTGCCTCGACTTCCGATGATCTCGGTTTGCCCACTCCGCTGCTGAGTCGCTTTGATCTTGTCTGGCGGTTGTCTGATCCGATCAGGTCCGAAACTTGGGATGCCTCAGTCGCAGACTTCATTCTTGGTTTATCCTCTGAGAACGAATCCCGACCAGTATGTTTAGGACCTGTATTTTAATTTGCCATATACTGACAATGTAGTGGAGATCAAGGCAAAAGTGAACAATTTCACTTGCTCTTACCCTCCGCAGATAAGTGGTGTATGTATGGTATGCTCTGGTGGTGCCGTAGCCGAGAGGACAAATTCGTTACCCAATTGCACTGGTTAAATAGCCATTTTCTCCCTTATAAGACTGTTCACGTACGCATTCTGCTGGAATTGCTTTTTTTAATAACCTCGAACGCGTCCAAGAAAACAGTTGTCCTCATTGTAGTTTTTGGAAACTATCGATTCTATAGTGTTTTTGCACCGGCGACGTCGCGCATTGCTCGCCCTTGTCACCTTTCTAACTAGCCTACCCACTTAATCCACACGAGGGTAAGGGAGATTAGGATGAGTGGCGACATGAGCCATCACATCATTGTCATTATCATTTATCTACCAAACGTTTCTTCTGCTTTCCGCTCTGTTCTCTTTGTTGTCCGCACTTGCGCTTTCCCGGTTTTATAGTCCTAACCTGGTTTTCTGGCCTGAACCAAGTACCCTAGTGGGTGATCCTGGTGTTCGCGTCGGACGACTTAGAAATGCATTTTCGAAAAAGAAGTTGTCGAGCCTTAGTGAGGTATCTATTAGTCACTGGGTCCCTTTTGTAAACATCTCCGCTTTTAGCATGACTTATTCTGTGCTCTGGTGTGAATGTATAGCCCTCTAGTGTTAGTCCCTGGACTGACGTTAAGCCTCATAGTAAGTGACCGATTTCTAGGTCAATTTAACTTCGAGTCTGGAACCACTGTCCTCCCGCCTCTTTGCAGAACCCTTAGACATTGTCTGTTGTTACTGGTCTTTTTTTCAAGACGCGCTGCCGGGTTCACTGGTCCACCGATCTGCTTCGAGTATACATTGCCTGGGTCCGAAGCGAGTTTCGTCCCACCCTCTCTTCCGGGTCAGCTGTCCTTCTGCAGCGCTACTATGAACTGCGACGGAGAGCACTTAGAGATCTTTGCGGTGCTGACAAGGACCAGGCACTTGCAGGCAGGACCACACTGCGTCTTCTAGAGAGCCTGGTTCGCCTAACACAGGCTCACGCCAGACTGATGGCCCGTCATTCTACTGTTGTTGAGGTAAATTTTCTCCTTTTGCGTGTGCGAAACAGCCGGGTAATGCATGGAGGCCCTGTGCTTCAAACTGACAGACACTACAGCCATCTTTTGAACAATGATTTAATCCGCCAGTATGTACGCAAGTTATAGGAAGATGATGATAGAGAGTAAGGAGGGAGTATGCATGACTGCGACTTTTACGACACCATAGAATTCCGAACTACTTCGTCGTCAATACCGACCGTTTATCTGCACGTCCCTTACGCTTACAATGGTCTTTACTTGAAACACTGTGCCGTCGTATTTTCGTTAGTGGTATTGGGTGCTTCCCGGCTATTCGGCATCTGTAAGCATTATCATAAACTTTCTGTTTAATTCTGCATTATTGGCACCATTGTTGGTTTAGGATGCGGCACGGAGTTTTTTTGGCCTTGTTTTAACCGGGCTGTAGTCGATTTTCTGGGGCAGTTCTGTTACTTAGTTTACCCTGTTCACGGTGGTACGAGTCTCCCTCACTGTCATCTCCGGCATTCACGTACTTCACGCGGCTTCAAGCACGACTGTCGCGCGTTTTGCTTCCACACTCTGTTGATCTGCAACAACGAATATGACAAGTTCGCTCTGAGATCTTCTCTAACCACAGACAAGGTTGATGGACCATTTCAACAAACGCGCGACCGTCGCTCCTGTGCGATGCGACAACATCTGACATTATACAATAAAAGAGTGCGGGCCCAAAATCCTCCAGTAATCTTCCTCGGCAGACATGAGTCGTCGACACAGTGCGGCCAGAATAAATGCAGAGCATACTCTGGGAACGAAGTATGATTCTCAAGTGACCAGTTGATGCCGAGTTTTAAATGCACCTTCCACACACATAGCATACCGTTCACAGCTTCTCAGCCTGGAGCCCGTGAATGCCATAGGATGGAGGCTTCAAGTAAACAGACTTTTACAAATATGGAATAGCATTCTAGGAAGGAGAGGACTGTTCGTACGAATGCGTTATAAAACGAATGCACTCTGTCCTTGTCAGTAATGCTAACGTCTGCTTTCTCATGAATCAAGTTGGTCCTTTTTTTCTTTGAAGGATTCGGTGGTGGCCGTATGGCTTATGGAGTGCTCCTTCCAATCCATATTCGGCCCCTGCGCGTCCAGTATCATATTTGAGGGTGGAGCGGTTGGCCCAGAGAATGTGGTGAGGTGCGATGGCATGAACTACAGTTTTGAAGAAGTGAAGCGCGTCATACTTTTGAAGTTAGATTTATCTGAAAAAGACCTGGGATGCAGCGCTGATGATGCCGGAGGGGAGAGCGTCGTGACCGGACCGCCTGAAGATTTCGAAATGAGCACCACTGTCTCTTTACTTGATACTTCATTGGACGATGCCATCTCCCGTCCACCCGTCTTCTCATCCACCCAGCTTCTCGACTTGAAAACCATCAATTTCTCACCCGTACCGCTGTCACCTCAGGCGGCTACTTCCACTACCCCACTATGCAAAGAGTCTCTCAAGGCATCAACCGGAGACACTACTGACACTGGGGTCGCTGTTTCGGCCGCCGACTTTGATCTCGGGAACTTACTGCCTTCGTTTTTAAACGATATTGAAAGTGACATGTTTTCGAACTCCACAAACATAGCCAAAGATACGGCTCCCAGGTCTGTCAAAAACACTTCCTATCCACATTTTCGGACCACACTGAATAACACGAAATTCGACCGGGTTAGTATGTGTGGACTAGCAGAAGCTCCCCATTCTCAGTCCGGCCCCAGCGTACACACCCACCTTTCCCCCAACTCTAGCCCGGCCACCACCTACAATGACAATGAGGAAAGAACCCGCAGGCGCTTGGATGCCCCACCTTCCTATCCCGGAGGCTCCATTGTACCAAACCGGCAACTGCCATCCTCGCCAGAGCAACTGGCCTTGACCGAAATCACTGCGGTTGTCAGCAGTGACCGACCAGATAGCCGAATAAGTGAGGATTCCCTTCTGACACGACCTGTTCCACGAAGAGCCGGGGAGGACCGAATCCTATCTGAGAGAGTACATCGCAAACTCTCGAGCTTTCATTTCCAGCCTAAAGAAGATGATCGTCTCCTACCACCCAAAACGTCGCGCACTGAACATTCCGATGTGCCGTCGACAGCAGACCCACATTTGGAATTAGGAGATCCGATGGACGATGACAGGGCTTCCAGACCCCTGCATCTTTCTAAGGAAGACAGTGAGATAAACGCTGCTTCGGCACTGACCTCGAAGCACCAGTCGCTGATACGAACATCTGCCGGCTTTGGCAAATTGCTGCCCGATGAATGGTCACTCTCGAACATAAACTTTGACATCGACTTTTGATATATTTCACAAATCTTATGCATTTTGTCTGCGTTGCAGACTTTTTTGATCTTCTGTTACACACTTCGTTTTTACATTATTTTTTTACTACTGAAATTCCGACTCTCGTCCCCGCACTCACCTATTCCGGTTTGGCTTTTTGGACACATGTTATAGTCGTGGGATGTCCTTATGGTTTGCCTTACGGAAGATTTTACAGCTGGTGTTCGTTTAAGCGGTTATTTCTTAACAGTGTCACATAAATTCACCATTAACAAATCTAGTGTCTGCCTACTCATGCCAACGCTCGTGATTTCGGGGCGCTCATTAGTAAGGAGGTCCTCCAAACTTCGCATTTGCATCAGGCGAATCAGTAAATTTAATGAGGTTGACTTAGCTTGTTTTCAGGGAAAAACGGCCATGCCTGGTGGCGAAATTGTGCCGACTTATGACGCTTCCGCAAACGATGCGGCGTGTAAGTTGTATCACTGGAAAATAACAACCCCGCTTAGCAGAACGGTGTTGAACACGGGTATAGGTACCCCCTGAGCTACAGGTGGTTTTGGGCCAAATGTCATGCGGAGTATATACTGCCGTGTCCTAACTTAAAACCTGACGGTAGCCCCCATATCCCTAATCCTTATTCCGCCGGTATTTAGCGTAAGACCACCTGCAGTGTTGGATGTCCATAATCCCGTGACCTTGCCAGAACCGGTTTATAGACGACGCCGGAGGAGGGGTGAGCAGCCGCATGAAATTGTCGTAGTGACAAGACCTCAGCTTCAGCTTATTGAACAGAAAGACGCAGTCATAAAGGCGACACCAGAATTCCCGGAATTACAGTGATGCCTAGGAAGCAGACCGGGTTCGTGGCTTCACGAATGACAGGGTGCTCTTTTTTCAGCATCTGTCTCAAAAGAAACAGAGTGGGGAAGATTGATTAACGCGGGGAACGTTGACTGTTAATCCATTCGGAGCAAAAACGAAAACAATGTCAGAAGTGAATCGTGGAAGAGGTTTTGGTCTATGTCAAATACCACTTATGATGCCCACCTAGTCTACTACAGCATACAGCAGGCGGCTCCTTTAAGGTTTAGTTTCTATTTTCTCGGGCGGCGTATACATCGTTTGGCGCGACACTTTCATTCGCATCAAGAAATTGTCAAACTTCGTGGGCGATCAGCGCCTAGGAGCTCGAGTAAAAAGAACGTGGCTAGTGAGCGTCGCTAGGATCTTCTCGTCTGATTTTTCAAACCTGTACATCCGCTCTCTCGACTCAGTCTACTGCTGTATAACGTCCAATGCAACATCTTGGACGGGGTTCCAAGATCACACCTCTCAAGCCTTCCACGAGGGGTTTTACGGTTGCGTCTGTCGTCACTCTCCTGTCGGTATTCGCAGTCGGAACGTGCTGATTTCGATACCTCTCACTCCATGCAAAGCCTAGAAGGAGGACGACTGACCAGCTTCTGGAGATAATGCCGCGTTCATCTAAAGGCGAGCACTTTTCCGTCTTCTGCAGTAACAACGGATCCCCACCAAAGCTCCTATTTACGCGCGTTCTCGACTTCTTTGGACCAGCGCCGTGTGTCCACCACCGGTGTTTTCTACCCGATACTTGTCCGTCTTCTTAGAAAAGGTCAATTCTGGACACAGCTAGACACCGTGCTTTATTTGCTAACTACATGGATGTCGGCTTTTCGTATTGGTCCCAAGGCAAGTTCGGATGACTGGGAGTCAGCTAAAGACCACCGGCAGCAAAAATGCCACAATTATCGATCACTAATTCATGCCTCTCATTGAGCTCTGTTTGGGTCTCAGTTCAACACACCATCTCGAAAACCGACTTAGAAGTGACGGCGATGAATGACTGTGCAGCCACACTGGCAGAGAAACAAAGATACCTGCAATACGGGAATGGTGATCATAGGAATTTTAGGGGTGGAGCCCACGGATGCGACTGCTAAAGAGGAGGAAGAGGGTTAGAAGGGTAGCCAAGGCGACCAAAAGCACAGCGGTTGTTTACGTGAGCAAGTACTTCGAGAGATCGCTGGTGCCAAGCGTAAAGCGGAAAAATTGACGGGAAATCCGTGAAAATCGCAGTAATTGGCCGAAAATGTAGGAAACCACATTCTAGAATGAAGAAGCCAATCAAGAGTGTGGAGGGCACTGTCAAGGACAATCTGCAAGGTGTGCGCTATAATGCGACTAAATGTGGGAATAAACGTGGAAACTGCAGCAGAAACCCATAGTCGAACGGATAACGAGTAAGAAACGCTCTTTTTTGAAGAAAACGCCACTTTTCGGCAACCGTAGGCTGTTAATTTGCTAAATAAATGGGTGTAAGAAAAGCCCAGGTAAATGTCAGGTGTCTTTACACTAACCACTTCCACATTAAGCAAAAACAAACCACGCAGACGAACAGGGTCTGAAGTGGATAGACAGGCGCTATTGAACGAAACAGAGCAGACAGCCAACACGTCCCGGCCAGTTCAACACTGCCAGTTAAAGAAGCTGCTGTCGTGGAAGTTGAAATGCCAATTCCGACGTCCAATAAAGCAAGAAGTACTATGTAAGCACACGCACGGCCATGTGTTTAGATGCGTAAGCGTACGAAAGCACTAAAAACAATATCGATATTCGAGAAAAGCGGGTTAACGTTGCGTAAATTTATGAAAAGTTGTCCGGCCTTCTTAGACGGTAAGCGGTGAGCAGGTGTGCTACTTCAGACGGTATAAACCTCACAACAGCAGTAGAGTGGTACCGCATTTGGTGCGACGTCTGCAAGAAGGCACTCGTGAAGGAAGTAGAACAGATAGTTGGCCCTGGCATTGAAGTTCATATAGATTAAATGATGACCAGCAGCCGAAAATACAATGTAGGAAGGAAAAAAAACAATTCGCTTTGGAAAGTGGGTATATATGTATGACGCAGTGTGAAGGAGAGTTCATTTCGAACAGAAGCTGGCCTTTCCTTGAAGGTGGTGATTAAAAATGGGTGGCGGTAGAAAGCGTAGTGGTGACCGGAGAATGAAGGTATACAGACGACTGACAACAGAAGGCTAGCAGTAGGTAACATTGAATAATTCAGTAAATTTTGTGCGTCCCACAACTGCAAGGCACACAAATGACATTTGGGCGTACTGGAGTAGGCTGAGGCGGAAACTGCATGGAAGCGGACCGATTTCCGAAAGGGAAGTCTGGGCTCATTTAGACAAAGACCAGTACCGGCTCTGGTTCGGTTTAAAGGTAGAAAATCTGCCAACAATGGGGGAAACCTTCCTTCGGCAGATGGTTCGGACACTTATTCGGTAAACGAGGACACCATGACGGACACACCCCTTATATTAGTGAGTACCAAATAAGCAGTGGTATAACACTAACGGTTAAAATACCAGTGAACTGGACGACCAATTGACGTTTGCATACAAATCACCGCCCTGATATAAACTTGGGGAGACGTGCTTAGGTGAAAAGTACACTACGCATGCCACCAAGGTCGGTTAATGTTAAGTCGATCGAAAACCACGAACCGGCAAAGGGCAAATAAGTTTGAACTCAACACAGTCCAACTACTGCGTCGTCATAATTAGCATATTATTTTACCTAACCGTACTTGATAGTGGTTCGGTTTTAGTTCCGTCTAAGCGCATAAGGACGCTAGAAACCCTCCTCCCCCGGCAGAACAGGGGCATAAGTGAGCCCAGCGGACCGTCAACCGCAGTGAAACGCTGGAGAAACCAAGTGAAATAGGTTGAGGTATGCTCGTCGTCAAGCCCAGCTTCACTAAAATTGGCAATGTCGCAAATGCGAAAACAACAGTCAGGGCACCACAGAAACCAAGCAAACCAAGAAACTAACCAATATCTAATTCCGTATGCGTAACGCAAGGAGCTGCGATGTAACTTGCCCTGAGAGGGCTGAAAGGAACGGAAAACAGGTGGTACGACAGCGTACACTGCTTATTCCCCAGCAGTATAAATATCGAGTGCATTAAGAGGAAGCCCACCAATGGAGTGCAAGCGTACAGAATAAAAAGATAAAAGGAGAGAACGCCAATTAGCACGATGCATCAAGTGGAGAGAAGGAGAGGGCAGAAAGATTAGTAGGATAGCGCCCAGATCACTGGACGTAAGTTAAAGGTATAAACAAGACCTTCTCCTCAACGTAGCGTAGGAAACGGTAGTTCTCTACTTCAAGGAAGACCGTTAGATAATACTAGGTCCAAAATAGTCGGTATGTTTGCCTGAGCCAGACAAGCTGCCTGCAATATTCACGATGACGAAAACGCGTGGCATTTCCCCATCATGTATTCAGTTGCCACTCTAATCGAACTAAGTAGTTTAATTGTAACTTAAAACAGCAAGAGTCAAGGAGGGAAGGGAACTTGACAGGAAGGATAGATCGGAAACCACGGGGAGGTAACGGGGGCAACCTAGCGATCGGATAAATGTCCACGGAACTGTAAACAGACGCCTAGTATACGGAAATGGGCACTGAAACCGGTAAGGGTAAGGGCAGACAATGAACAGAAGACCGGTGGTCCTAACACTAACCCCGACCACGTGCGTCTTATGAAATGAAGCTCCTGGAAGAGGCACAGCAATAACCTAAGGCGTCCTATGCATACATCAGAAACAATACAAAAAACCATGGTCATCTCGCAACCTTAAGGAACAAAAAAAGCCAAATTTTGAGCAATGATTTTCAAAAAGCCGAGCTTCTTTCAGAATTTTTCCAGAGTGTCTAAGCCATGGAACCACCTCTCCAGTCCTCTTCTCTGCCACAGCTCGTGAACCAGCCAATTACACACACAGTATTATTTACACCGCGGCTAGTTTTGACAGAGTTAAATAAGTTATATCCGGCCAAGTCATCCTGACCAAATGAGATCCCAGGTGTACTCCCACGTCAAGTAGTTGAAGAGTTAGCAAAACCACTGTGTGTAATCGTCCAAAATCATTCGAAACTGGTAAACCACCTTGAAACATGGAATTTGGCGAACGTCTTACCCATCCGCATGGGAGGATCACGAATATAGCCCATCAAATACCTGCCGGTAATTCTGAAAAGTATTTCCTGTAAGCTTATGGAAAGGATAGGAGTTTGATTGCGTTGCACATAAACTCCTCGTTAAAAAGTTGTCAGCGTAGGGAGAAGAAATCTTCTGAACTGGATCCAAGATTCTTTAAACGGTCCTAAACAAATATTACTGCGGGTGGCTACCACTCAGGTTGGGCGTCCACTATGAGTGGAGTCCCGCAAGGATCAGTTCTTTGGCTGATTCTATTCATTATTTATGTAAATGACTTAGCACAGGAAGTGAAATCGGACATGGCGCTCGTTGACGATGATCTTAAACTGTGGAGGACGATAAAAGATGAAATAGACGCCAAGATACTACAAGAGGACATAGAGAGTTTGCGCGCATGGGGCGAGAAATGGTGCATGAAATTCGACGTCAAAAAGCATATGGTAATGCACATAGTATCAGCAAAGCGAAGAATAAATACACGCTCACGACAGTATCTTCTGAACGATCAATCACTTGGACCCATAGATGTGCAAAAAGACTTCGGCATATTTGCTAACGATTACTTGAGCGTCACCCCGCAGTAATTGAAAATCGGAGCTAGGGAAATGTCAATTATGAGCACAATAGAAAGAACGTTTATTAACTTGAATGTATATATCTTTGACGAGGTAAATAGGGCATTCGTGTGGCCGCACCTGGATTATGCAGCACGAGCTTGGCGGCCGTGGCTTCGGAAGGGTATACATATCCTTTAAAGTGTACAGCGACGTGCCAAAAAGGCTGTTCATAAACTCAAAAATTTACGTACGAGTAGTGCCTGATAGCCATGAATCGCTATCCCCCACTACAGGCAGGACAGAGGTGATCTGGTAGCAATGCTTCAGTTAATTGGAGGACTTTATCTGGATGTCGACTGGGAAACTCTTTTTGAAACGGCACCAAAGACTAATCTCAGACGACACGACTACCAGATAAAAAGGGGCTGCGCCACGCAAATCAACGCTCCTCCTTTTTCTAGCAGAGTCATTCGCCAATGGAATTCTTTGCCGATGTATGTCGCTAATTCCCCGCCCGTGAGTGTGATCAGGGGACATCTGGATAATCGCCTATTAAAAGGTAACCTGAATTCCCCAAGCCCGAGCCAGCGGATTACTGAAACGATCAGCATACTCCTAGTATGAAGTAAACAGACCCTTTTGTGTACATAAACCTTGATCCAGATGAAAAATTTTAACACTGCGAATGCAGTGGACGACTTTATTCGCCGTTATTTAGCAAATGCCACATCACGATAGTCGCTGTGATCGAATCTTCCCGTCGTCAACACCAGATGCAGTGCGAAGAATCGCAAGAATTGTTTTTCTATTGCAGCCGGTCAGCCCTGCAGTGGGATTTAGACTGATGTGCCATTAAAATTGCGTTTTGATCGACTACTAATCTCCCCCTCGCATTGCCAAAATGCACAAATTTGCCGACAGCCTGAATTGATAGCCTGCTCCGTTTGAGTCTAGCACGTCTTCCAAAGTCTTGAAAATTCCGACAGCGGGTCGCATGCTCCAATGGCGGAATCCTTCCAACACCCTGCTCATTGAGGTTGTGCTCAAATATGTAGCAACCAGTCACCTCGGAGGTCAACGGCAAAGATCAGAGGTTCCCGTATCGATAACGGCGGTGCCCAGATAAAAGTTGGTAGTTTTCTTCCGAAATACAAAGCGCGGTGCCGATAGACGAGTATTAACGTAAAATAATTCCCCGTTTATCGTGAGAACTATTAACTATCTTTCGAAGTCCAGCGGGAGTGAAGCTTTAGGGTTCGTTTACCTGTGGGCAAGATGATAATAGCAAGCTATATGAGGCTTTCGCTTGTCTTCGACTGCAAGTTTGTTTGATTTAAAAAGTTGTGAGAACGCGATGGCTCTTGCTCATTAAGCCAAACAGGACAAAGTCGGGCAAGTCTCACTTGTACGAATGTCATGCGAAGCGGTTTGTCAGGGTTATACCAGGACCAAATTAGCCATTGTCTTCTCTTTAAAGCGGCAGTCTTGCGGGAAACCCCTTTTGGCGGAGTCGGTGAACTCTCGGACAAATGATACGTGGGAAGAGGCAAGCATATTAACCGATGAACGTTCTTGTCCTAGTCACAATAAAACGGGATGAGTCGAGGGCTTTACACAGAGTTTGAACGGGACAATTGCACTAGTGGATAGCGAACGATGCGGATATGCCACTTCAGCAGTAATATGGAAGTGAACACAAGAGAAGAAAATATAAAAAAGCAAGAAATGGACAACGTGGACATAACAGTTCGCATTGTGAAGCATGATAAGTGGTAAGCGATAAAGGACAAACATTACTAATAGCGTCGCTGTAAGTGAAACTATAGTCTTTATGTATGGTAGTACGTCCGCCTGGAGAGGTTTGGTGGGTTACTACCGGATGGACAGGGAGAGGACGGACAGTTTGGAAGAGGGAAGGCCGCACGTAAGTCGCAGACCTCGGCCTCAGAACACCCCTAAATGGGGTCATGAACAAAGAGAGGAAAGTCATTGGGAACCTCAACAAGGGGCACGTGCTGAGACGGAATTTCATCAAAGACGTTGGCTCTGCAGTCACACATATGCATTTCCTTAAGTTTTACCTCCCAGTCTAACTTCTGAACCATCATTAGCGATTCGGCTTCGTGCAGCTGGCGACACAAAAGTCTCCTCTAAAAGAAGAAAAACGGGAGAAAGAGGGTGAGGAAATTTGGTCGACCGGTTTAAACTAGACACATCGCTGACACGTCTCCAACCGCTGAAACCACTAAGATGAGGCTTGTGCACACTATTACGGGGAGATAATCTATCGCGCTGGTTGAAAAAGTCATCGCGCGAACAAGATCAACCTTTTCTAACCACGGATGCAAAAACATCGCATCCTCCAGTGCGAATATTTTTAAACTTCCGAGTACTGAAAGCGTGCTCCAGGAGTGAAGTGTTAAGGAGTGGGTGCCAACAGGGTGGCGAGACTTCTCTGGGCGTCACATTCAAAACGAACGCTGGCCTCGAAACAGAAAAGAAAACTGATGGTGCCGAAATTAAAGAAACATTCCATGCTAGTACCCACACCTCATGTTTAGGTGCCTGAGTAGGATTAACTGATGTACATGCGTGTTTGTGTGTCACGTGCCCAATAACCTAAAGGGAATGCATGTAATTTGGAATGCTAGCGCAGCATTGCATGTGCTTAACAGCGTATAAGGGTCTGGTAAACAGCACCTTGGTCAGAACTTCTCCTATCCAAATGCTTAACACTTAGTTGAGCAGTTCAGGGTACGCTGGTGATACAGAACGGTCATGAAAGTGTACGGTTTGCATGCAGACGGGCAGTGAAGGTGGAGGGGCAGTTGGAGGACGGAGCAAGCTGGGTTCAAAATAAATCGGCACCGCGAATGCCTAAAGACTGCTATCTAACCTTTTCCTTCTGGAAGTTGTCCTTGATGTCCTGCAGCCAGCCAATCAGAATTCTAGCGTTGAAACGGTCTCGGACACTTTCTTCGTCCTAAAGCATTGCATTTAGAAAAGGATGAAGAAAGGTAACAGGATATGTGAAAGGAACTTATCAATCTTTGTGTAAAAATTCTGATATTGTACACAGTGAGTGACCGATCTCATGAAATGTTGGCCGAAATTCCGAAATGCGTTTTCGAAAAGGAAGGATTACTTAGGTGAGGCTGTAAAACTGATCATCATGCAACATAGTCGTATACTATTTCGGGCTTATCGAGATGTCGGCTCTTAAATGCACTCCTTTGCGACCTGTAGAAGCCACACTGGGTAAAAATGGCCACTTAAGTTGCATGCATTTTTCACACTGATTTTCGATGGTCTTATAAATTTAAACACATTTTGTAGAAAAAATGCACAAAATATGTTTAATTTTACTCGTTTGATAGAAAGTCACGTTGTCTTATCATCTTATATCCGAAGAAAGCAGATATTTCGGTTTTAAAACAGTTTCGGTGACGATAGGGTGTAGGACTCCTGAGCAGATGGCAACTCCGAAAATATACCCTGAAATTTAGTGTGACTGTAAACATCGCTTACATTGTTTTAAACTTCCTTCCCTTCCGGACTAAACGTAAACTTACCGGCGGCGTTTTATTCAGTGTCCGTTATTTTTTGAAAATTGCTTTTTATTTATTTTTTTAAATTATCGCGCTCAATTTCTTTGCCAAATGACAGCGTACGACAAGACTTTTGGCAGGAATTTATCTACTTTCTGTGTCTTCTTGCTCTCGGTCCCGTATGCTGTCCCACCAGTAAAATCCCCTCTACCACTATTAAACGTATGGCACGATCCACAGGCTAGCTCAAGTTAGTTGGGGATCCTACACTATCGTCGCCAAAGTTTCTAATCATGGGCTTTTTTGTGACCCTGCAGTGTCTATTCATACAGCATTGTAACTGTCCGTTTATCAATGTTTCTCATGAAATGTACAACATAGTCCGCGTTCATTTCAAATTCTATAAACTCTATATGGTATCTTCTTAAAGGCCTAGAGAAATATATGATTCACCTACCGCGGAAAGCATGTACCTTGTAGACTGAAATCGCCAAACGCCAATGGAATGGCAGATTAGGCTCAAAATTATTCGGGAACTGGGAAACTTTTAAGACCTAAATATACCCTTCCTTCGGGCATAAAATGTGATGACAAAGCGATTTTCTACCATACGAGTAAGATTTATGTAAAGTTATAAGACAATCGACATTCAATGTGAAAAATGCATGCTATTTAAGCATTCATTTAGAACCAGGTGCGGTTGCTACAGGAGCTCGAAAGGAAGTGCATTCAAAAGCCGACACCCCGTTAAGTCCGAAATATTATAGGATTATGCCGCATGATAATCAGTATTACAACGCCACCTAAGTATTCCATCCTAATCAAAAACGCATTTAGGAATTGCTGTCAAAATTTCATGAGATCGGTCACTCACTGCAGACCAGTTAATACTATTGAGGGTGTTCGAGCGCGTGGAGAGTAAAACTCAGAAAAATAAAAAAAAAATTAGACTAGATCACGCGAGAACGCATGTAGATTTAGGCACAAAACCCATCAGAAATTAAAATTTAACCCATAACGCTAACTTGAATTGGCAGCTTTTCCGTCCTAAACAGATAAACAGGAAACTACCGGTAAGAAGAGCTACACGAAAAAGACGTTTAACACGCGAAACAGGAGGGGTTAAATCGGTTATTTTTCCTTATTTGTAAAACAGTAAAATGGCGTATTAGCATATCTCCAGTGGAATTAGAATATGCGGTCTATTTTCACGCTGACGACACACGTATGTGAGATTTTTAACTAAATATGTATTTGTCTCCACATCTTACCGTCTTCATAATCGTGCTTAGGATATTCTGCAAATTATGTAGCGACCCGCACAGTGCTCGCCACTTCCTGTTGAGAAGTGTCTTAATTACATTTACGAGTTTTGATACCCTCAGAACCTGCTATAGACAACCATTCAGTTAGCCCCTACATTTTGCACCGCGGCAGGATTTAACATCCCAAATTGTAATTTCAGTGTTAAAGACAAATGTAGCTAGTGAGCGCCCCTTCTTTGGAATAAAATCAAAGGGTCAAGATTATTGTAACCATATGGTGGATTTAGGAAATTTCAGACTTCATTCCATCTGCTCCATTCTCGTCATTGTCATTCAGAAAAGAATCAACGGTCATTATCTATCTGCGAAAGCCGAAACTCCAACGTCCCATTCTGCAGCAGCGCAAACCAGGATCCAGTGTATCCCACCTTCCCTCAAACTGCAGAGTCGGCTGGCGTTTTTCACTCCTCACAAGAATGCGTCAAAATAAAAGAACCTGGCAGGGTCTTACCCGGTGATCAGAACTCTTAAAGGGTGGGAGGTAAGTAAAGCCGTTCAGTGCCATAACTGAACAGAAGGAGAGAGGACGTGGTTGATTAGCCAACGCGATCGTAGCACGAGTTTGGGCCCGCAAGACGGACTGCTCAGCACACAGACGAAGTTGTTCCTAAAAAAACAACACAGCCGGAGAATGAATTTGCTACTCAATGACCACCCATACCTCAGCCAACAATGTTGAGAAAGCTGACAGCATTCAACTCGACTGTGCGCACAAACCTCGAGACTAAACCGTAAGTCTTTCTGCAGATTTAGGTTCGAGGACATCCATCAATCATAGGTTTCTATACCAAGAAAAGAATAATCCTCACAGTATTGAGGCTCTGGAACTTTAAGGCAGTTTTTTACAAATGTGCGTCCTTCAAACGGTGAAAATTTCCAGTACCAGACAAGAGAATCTTCAATCGCTAATCGGCCACTGCAGCTTTTCACTTAGGCTTTTCTGCAGGCAAATCATCAGGGTTCGAATGACTGGTCTTCAAGTCGTTTCTGAAGTACAGCTTGCTGAAGACAGAAATGAGCCCGTTGGTTAACCTTTGACTTATTGCGTTTACAACGAATTGTTCAGCGATAGTCCTGACGAGATTTTAGTTTCTTCCGGGAATACCCTCCACCGCCATCTTGTGATAAAATCATTGCTAACGAAAGAGAACGACATTTGAAATCTGTTAGCAAAAGGCCCGATCCTCTGAACGCTTATTTCGAAGTTAATTATTTAAACGCATTTAAATGTCGAATGGATTACGCGAGGGAGTTTTAGAATTTCAGGAATCCGGCTTCTAGCATGTTTTTTTGTGGGTAAAGGATGGCCCAAACGAGTGGACGAGATGCCAACAGTCTATCATTTTAGCCAGCACGTGGAAGCGCTTTAAACTAGTTAAATTACCGTAGACCCCCAGTACCGAAGTTGTGGATTGTGTGGTACATCGCGATTAAGCATGAACTTAGATTTGCACATAACAGCACCAATAGGAACCAGGGAGTTAGTTATAAAATACTCAGAGTTGACGTAAAGGCTGGATGAAGACTCCTCCCAGTGCGCCAAGAAATTGGAATGAGGCGAACAGATCTGTTAAGATCTCGTCTCTAATGAGAGATTATAGGGGAGATGATTTGCTGGATGAGACGTAATCACAGTGGAACATGAATTGCCAGAAGTTAACAGAAGCTCATTAAATAACATGAGAGAGGGCATTTGCGCAAAGGAAGTTTGCACTGGTGTTCTTCTTTGAACTTGGACGGCACAGAAACTGTGAAATCGCGGCGACGTATATAGGTCACATCATTTTAAACATACCATGATAAGTATAAAGCCAGGAATGCGACGTGTAGACGCAACTCCTTCCAAATTTTCACACTGTTTGAACAGTTAGCTCGGCTGGATGTCCTATCTACGGGGAAGTTCGGTGAAAATTACCCAAACCTGTCAGTCGACCATGCCCAAATTTACGTGAACAATTGGCATACATGTGGAGAGTACTAGCGATGAATGGTGATGCAGGGAATACCAGATCAGCATGCGAAACGCCTGGAACATTTCAGCCCTGTCAGCACTGGTCGAGTTCGGGAAAATATCAAAAATGAAAAACTTGAAAATACGACTGACAAAGATTAGGGGCACAGAAATTGTCATTTCTGGCTGATTAACGACAATTAACTAGTTACAATCCAATTCCGAGTGTTGGCGTATCCGAAGTTAGAATCCGAGTTAAACACTCTTAAAACTTAAAATAACTGTCTCATGACTCGTCGGCTAGGATCAGGAAGGACACTTCTGCATTTTTTTGAATGGCACTTAGGATCAACTAGTTTACATTAACATGGACATGTCTGCCCGTCATTTTGACTGGAAAAACGTCCAATAGGCTGTAATGAAGAGTTATTTAACTAACTGTCTTCCCAGAAAGAAGCACGACCTTTGAAAGTCTCAAGAACGCTGGCACTAGACTTCTGTAATTGGTGACTACAAAGGGGTGTTCTTTTTGAAAAAGATGAGGTAAGCACGATGACGACCACAAAAAGTACTGACATCTCAGAAGTATGCTCACACTACTAGCTCAGTGGCCAAATCCCAAGCTTTACCAAAAAAACATAAGCGAAAGATGATTCAACTGCAAAAAAAACTCACGCGTTCTGACTCGTGTTTGAGGGCCTGGGCGTATCGTTCGTCTTCCTGCTCTTCAAATAATTCAGCAAAAGGCCCTTCGATATTTACTGGGCATGGTCGCTAAAAAAAGAAACATGCGGCCTCAGGGTTGAACTTGAGCCTGTTTTATGAAAATGTAGGTTTTATGTGTGAAGTTCGGTGACAAGAGTCAATGAGGTTATTGAGACTGATAGCTGGGCTGGTAGGAAACTGGGCATAACGATTATGACAAACAGGTTCAAGCGAATGCTGGCGACAAATGAGGATAGATTGGTTTTTACTAGAAGTGCCAAACGCATGGTTTGTAAATAAACCCCGTAAAGAAGGGTTCTTCCTTCCTCCACCTATATTTCGGTCGGCTGTGCTGTGGCCCATTGGAGTGCGAATATTCGTAGTCCTCATGAATAGCCGTTTTTGGAGGTCGGGCACATGGGATAAAGGGCCACAGTTGATGTTGCAGCAAATTTTAAAGATTCAATTTCTCCAAAAGAGCACACGTTGGGGTGAAGGCTTGTTGAATTTTAATCGGTCGCTTCAGTGTTCAAAATCAACATTCGAGGCTCATTTATATATGCTTACCTTGGCAAGATGAGAAGGAATTCGGTCGGTAAGAAGATAGTCGCGAGTCACAAGTAGGTAGTCCTGGTAGCCGGTCGGCTCTTTGGGCTGCAATTCCACAAGCTTGCCAATTAGTTCATTCAACTAGAGGGAGAAAACGAATGGTGAAAATGATGAAACGGATGCCAATAGAAACCAGGGACCAAAACATAACGTGACGTCTGAAAAATCTCCACGTGATGGTCAAATATCTAGCGTCCGATGGCGTGGATTAATTTGATAACAATCTTGCTCCGTCGGCAATACAGAGACACTCTACACAGGAGAGCAACATCTATTTGTGTATAAAAGGCTCTTCACCGTAGAACAGTAGTCAAATACGAAAAATATGCGGATTTAGATTCAAAGTTTGTCTGCAAGAGGTATATGCACCATAATCATCGTCGCCGTCGTCATCCTCCTCCTCCTCCTCCTCCTCCTCACCACCACCACCACCACCGCCGCCGCCGCCGCCGCCGCCGCCGCCACCACCACCACCACCACCACCACCACCATCATCATCATCATCATCGTCATCATCATCACCATTGCTCGCATACATTGCAGACGCCATCAAATCCAATGCGATCTGATATAACTGAAAGCAGGGCGCACAATGGCCATATTAGTGATCTCCTTCATTATTATTTTGCATACCCCTTTATTCAGTCCGGCGGCTTTATCATAGGGATTTTCACCCCAAGCCACAGGGCTGGGTTTCAGAGGATCATCGAAAGCCCTTGCGGATGAAGGTAATGACCGCAACGTCGCGTCGAAGCCGGTCTCGCCAGAGCTGCCTGCAGAGTTTGCTGTACTCTCGTAGCCCTCGTTCTGCTCCGCCTTCGCAGAAATACCGGTGCTGGGGCCGTGATTGTTAGTGTTGTCCAGAGAGGAGCAGGAGTCCGCGCCATGATCGGTCATCGGCAGGTCCGATCCGTTGTCGTCCCGTAGGTCCGACCCATTAGTTGCGAAGGATGCGGCATCCGACTCACCAGTCTTGGAGCGGATTTTGCGTTTCTTTATTGGGGCGTTGTCTGCTATAAGAGTTAAGGAAAAGACATGTAGCCTACACAGCACGCGGTCTGAGAAAGAACTGTGCGATAAAAAACTACACGAGAAGCCCATGACTCACTTTGGCGATCGCGTTCCTCCCGTTCGCGCTGGGCAGCTGTGTGTGATCGGAGGGTCCGACTGCTCCGCGGATTGACCGGCTCTTCGACTTTTATCTGAGAAGCACCAACCAAAAAGTTTAAAATCGGAAATCGAAGTAGAGGGCTTCGAGTAAAATCATGAGATACATCAGCGGCAGCAACTTAACGCACCTCCGTGTCCGACTGCGTGGGCACTTTTTCTAGTTCAGACTGACTGTCCTCAGCCAGTTTCTGCCCCCTAGAGGCTGTCCTTGTGGGCACTGCGCCCGTACGTCGACGAGAAGATGAGACGCTCGTTTCAGCGTTCTTGGTCACAGAAAATGCAGATACGGCCTCGGAACCTGTGGCGCTGGAAGTGGCGACCACAGCCTCAAACTTTTTGCTTTCAGCTGATTCGGAACTGGGCAGTGACAACGGTGCTGGGGAGTCGGGTTTGATGTCTGACTTGACAACGGAATCGGAAACTGGTGCTGAAAGTTCCTCGGTTGAGAGAGAGTCGGGAACCGTGTGTTCACAAGAGCCAATATCTGAGCTTGCACCGGTCGCCAACTTAATCCTCAGCGGTGGCACCTTTTGTGACCGTGAGTCTTGGTCTTCATCGTCGCCCTGCGACCTCTAAAATATTCAAGACGGTATTCATAAGATAACGGTGCGGCTGCCAAAACGAGACGGGTTATCAAAAGGCAGTAGCAAGGATTATTCATAATCAGCGGGAACAGTTGGTTTAAAAGAGTCAGCATTTTGTAACTAGCGTAAAGAACAAAAGGTGTCGAGTGCACTTTGTAACTCAGGCGCGCGCCCTGGCATAATCCAAGTTTATCTCCGTGTAATGACGAAAGACCAGGCTTAAACCTGGGAGCAAAAACCAATGTGGCCCATATATTTACTGGGAGTAGTGGTGTCGTCTTCTTGTTGGAAATCCCCTGCAATGTGCCAGAGTCTACAAACTAACTTCATCCCAGGTAGAACAGTTAAGAAATGCTTCGAAAAAATACGCTTGCACAAATATCACCTCAGCGGACTTGGGGCAAAGCCAAATTCGGAAGCGAGACACACAGTGCTAAAAGCTGAAACAGAACACCTTATTACCTTCGGAAATACGGGTTGAGTGATGAACCTCAGTCTCACGTGACTTTGAGCAGTCCCGGTTGAATCCGATATGGTGTTAGCCCGTAACCCAGTGGTGGAGCATCTACCCGAATGGCCGACTGAACCTGGGATGCAAACGTCGAGCCTCCCTGTTTGGGATTGTGGTATGGATAGCGTACGACAATAAAAATATGTCAGAAACGACAGTTGCGGTTTTCCTTACATTGTCAACGTCCCCTTTTTGATTCTAATTATCACAAAGGCTCCTGTGGATGGGGCATGCGACAATAACCACAAAAGTTGGCGCACGTATGTTCCTTACCGTCCTTACTGACTGAATTTGCATGACGCTGATATCTTTAATGCTGTTACAGTCACTGCGAAAACACTTTTATCGAACGTAGTGGATCTGGTTGTAAGCGCATAAAGCCCGGGTAATGGTCTGGAAAGATAAATTTCGGAGTGGCACATTGCATGGCACAAATAACCCATATGTGCGGGCCAAAGTATAGCACAGCATTGGGAAGTTAGAAAATTCGTTCAAAACCCCTCACATTCATTGAAAATATATAAACAGTGAAGACAAAACCAAATGCAAAGAAAGATTTATTAGCCCGTCGAATACGCAGCCATGTCTTTTGATTGCCGGACTTACATTAAGCCACTGATTTCCAAGCTCTCATCAAGCGTGTCCACAGTTGATGCAAGAGTAGCTTATTACAGTTTTAACCACTGACGTGAGCAACTGGAGTGAAAAGGACTTCAAAGATAGATTTAGAAATAGCACCCCTCGGCGTTCCGTTCATCTATTCTCGAATCCTGTGAGTTATTACACGACCAAGCAGTCTTGACGAGGTATAATCTGGGGCGGGTTCGTTGTGTTTAGTGAGCAACTTCGGACACGCGAGCCATGACTTAAACAGTTCGTGTTTGTGGCTCCTCGTTAGACTCCGGCACGGCCAGACCTTTCGACCTGCCTTTGTTTATATTGATCGGCACACTTGCTCGGATAGTCATCTGAATAAACCACCAATACTGATCATCGGCAAATATTCATGAAGCTGGAGAACAGGATTCCTCCAAAGTATCTGGTGGACATGAGGACAAGGCAAACGCACCGAAAACACAATGGCAACGCCCGATTAACGGTACATTTGACATGTATGCCACACTCTCATGTTTGACGAGGCCAAAATCTTCACAATGGGTCAAAACCGCAAGAGTCGGGGGCAGCTTCGATCTCTATTCTTTTTTCCACAGTCAATCACCGAAACATTTCCTTCTGAAAGTGCAAAATCAAGACCCACTTGCTTACTTAATCGGACACTGCAGGCACTCGGCGACTATGAACTGTCAGACAGTCTATAGCGCCAAAATCAGCGGGGTTCTTGTACCACCTCTAGCATGAACAACCCTCCTGCCTCATTTGTGCTGAGGGCGTGGTAACTTCCTCTACAAGTCATAATCAGCATACCTAAAAAGGTAACACAGGCTATTAAGCGCGGTTGATCAAACTGCCGCTGCAAATGTGGGTAGTTAATTCTACCCAAGGATCATAATTTGGACCCTTTGGGAGAAATCACTCTTCCTCCAAAAGTGTCCCCTGCGGCACATTCGCAGAGCTCCGATTTAACATTCTCGCTCCTCGCTTATACTATTTGCAAGCTCAGACGAAATATCTGACGAACAATACATCTAAAGCTTCTACAAAGGCTGAGGTGCTCTTCCAAAAGTAACCATTGTTTGCATCATCGTCTCCAAGTATTTGTCTAAATTTTTGCATGCTTTCGAAAACGTCTCGACAAGACCATTATATTCAGTCTATGAAATTACTTTCTACTGAAAGAACGTCATAAAGGCGTTTTTCTTCATACATAAAGCCACATTCTTTGCTAGGATGTTTATTCTTGTAGATACAGAAAGGTTGTCCAGAGCGTTTCAGTCCGCATTCGTATTCCAAAAAACACCCACTTCAGGGCCGAACCGGAGACCTCAAAGATAAGAGCATACACCAATAACCCCTGCGCTACAGACATACGCTCCAGGAGCGTTCTAAAAGCTTTGTATGTATGTCACAGCAGAATTAGGTCGGATATTCGTGTAACGGTTGTCAAACGATGGCCTACAAGATGCATCAACTAGAGGAAGAAGTTAAAAATCCGAAGGAGTTTATACGCAAGACTCTTTCTTCAGAGGGCCGCCCAGTGGTATCTATGCATAGGTTAACTCGGAATACAGCGACGTCCATTCCGAGTAAGGAATCCTCAGAAAGGAATCATGTGGTGTATAAGATATCTGCTTATAGTAGTCAAGTGGCTTTTCCGAAGAAAGTAAAATGGCTAGATAGCAGTTGGTAGCCAAGACCCGTATTAGAGGTGGCGGAGGGTTTGTTTGCTGGGGCTATTTTGCGGAGCTGCTTAATCACATCTGACCCATTTGGCTTCCGTTTTACGTCTGAGGTTAGGATTAGAGTACTGGTTAATGGTTTCCGTTTTTGGGTTAGGTTTATGCCTTTAGGTTTAGGTTTTCGGGTTATGGTTAAGGTTTGAGAGTACGATTAGGATTCAGTATTACGGTTAGGTCTTTCAGTTACGGATATGTCTAAGGGCTACGGTTACGTTTACGATTTCGGTTAGGGTTAGGGTTGCCGTTAGGGTTAACGGTTAACGTTAAGGGTTGGGGTTAGAGTTATGGTTAGGGTTAAGGTAAATATAAGGGTTAAGGTCGCCGTCCGCCTGCCCATTCCTGGCTACCAACTGCGATCTAGCCAGTAAAATAAGAAGACGCCACTTAAAATCACGGGGAAGGATCGCCAGGAAACAAAAGAGGGTAAGTCAGTCTTGCCCGAAAAGCAGTCGTATGCACAAACGGAAATGGATGAATATTTACCAACAAAGGAAGTGGAGGGAGTGGGGCAGATGACGCTCGACCTTAATAATTCCCAGACAGTGTGCTCATTCCAGGGGCCAAAATGAGAGGGAATGCCACCTAGCACAGACATATGGCCGTGGATCCAGGGTAGAATTAGCTGCCATTACGAATTCCCATGTCAACAGAGTTGAGGGCCGAGCTGAGGAAGCCTCCAATTGAGGGGGACGACTTCTCCACAGAGCCCTCTGGGGGAAGGCATTGTTGATCGACCACAGTGCGTAACCATTCATGGTGCCTCAGCAAGAACCGCGGGCGAACTGCACGGGGACAAATGTACCAATGTCGCAGCCCCCTCTCTTTTGCCAGTCCACTTCGACAAGGCCAAAGTACCCGCCGAAGACGTCCAAATCGCAGAAAATAGAGGAATGCTTAACAAGGATACCTGCATCATAATTCAGGGCCTTCCAGAGTCTCCTGCTAGTAATCCCAGGGAACGAGTCGCTGCAGACTTGGAGCAATTCTAGAAACTCCTTAATGAAATGCTGCGACCATCTGAAGATATCACCGTTATGAACGCGTTTCGTCTTGGCAGCCGTAAAAATTACGCTCCGCAGGCGGAAATGGGTGGGTGAAACGAATCCTTTCCAGGCGTTCTCGACTGAAGTATCCCCAGAAAGGAATATTTTTTCAGACGGACTACTCACCCGCCGGAAGAACGAAACGTGGCGAACTTGTCCTACAACACGGCGTGCCAACGGAGAACAGAACTTGGTACTCTACAAAGACCACATAGTAAAACGACATTCTGCTCTTTTCTGGATCAAGCCAATTCGAATGACCGCACAGATACTCCCGTGGCCTGCGTCGGGGTTGTTAGTAAATCTTGCATGAACTAGAAACTCATATTCATGTATACTACCGCGCAAAGTGTACTTTAAAAGCTGGATGAACTCCGAACCCATATCTGCGACCTCCACTCAGACGTTATCTCAATAACAGAAACATAGCTTTCCAAACAGGCTGATGATAGGGAGCTCTTGCTTCCTGGATTTCATTTGTTCCGCAGAGACAGAAAACAGAAGGGTTGGAGGCATAGCGACATTTGTTAAGAATGGTTTGTATGTTTCAAAAAAACTGCGGAGCTGACTCGCAGTACGGAAGCATTATGGTTGACCATAAGGGTACTGGGTTCTCAAAGCCTCGATATCTTGACACTATATCGTCCCCTAGGAAGTGGCCCTGACGCTGATGCCCAACTGTTGGATGAGCTCAAATTATTTTCTACGTGGCCGAATACTCTCAATGTTGGGGACTTTAATGCATCTCATACCGACTGGCATTCGGTTTCTGCCGACTGCTCAGAAACAGCATTCGACCAGCGGCATCTGCGAGCCACCGGCAATCTGCTTCCTACCCCGCATGTAGTGTTTCCGACGGGTGTTCGGGAGGGTCAACAAATGAACCGCCTCGATCTTGTGTTCACTAAGTCGTCTGACAACATCGGCATTGTGAATTGCCTCCCACCCCACTATGTCAGATTGACCATGTGGTTCTCCTGGTGGACTGCACCTTATTCTCCCTGTCTGCACAACCGATCGATTCCCGACCTAATAGTTGGCGCAGGGCTTTTAAACAGATGAAAGAGGATCTTTGTCCAATGGACTGGGCGTCCACACTCTCCGGCGACATCGAAGAGGTTTGGTGTCAGTTCAAAGAGATAGTCCACAGTCTAATCTCCAACCACTGCCCAATCATGCACAGAAGACAAACGAATAGACCCCACTGGTTGACTCCGTGCTTAATGAGGGAAGTTAACAAGTATAGGAGGCTATGGAAAAGACCCCTCATTGACCGGACGTCTGAATCCCTAAACAGTTTTAAGTTACAGAGAAACCAGGTAAAAATTCTTATCGTCAGAGATCAGCAAGTCTTCGAAAAGGATCTTTTGAAACGTACCATGGTTAATCCCAAAGTCCCTTACAGTTACATAAGGCAGGGTACACGGAACAAAGACCCCATCCCACTGTTGCGAACGGCCGAGGGCACGGAAATTTCAGATGAAAAGGATAAGGCTAAGCATCTCTATCAGCTCTTTCGGTCCGCTGTGACGTATGATCCCAATTTTTCCCACCCACTTGTGAAGACGGAGAGATGCCTACCATTGAAACAGACTTCTTCATCAAAGCAAGCGTTCAGAAGGAGTTGCTAAACCTAAAGGAATCGACCTCCCAAGGCTCTGGTGCAATCCCGGCCAAACTGCTGAAGGAGCTAGCCCCCGAAATGTCCGAACCGCTAGCCTTGATCTTCCAAACGTCAATTGCTACGGGGTGTCTACCCTCCGATTCGAAGTCCGCTACCACCAATCCGTTTTTAGGGACGGAAGTCGTGAGGCTACGAATCACTACCGGCCAGTGAGTCTTACCTCCATTTGTAGCAAAATCGTGGAGAAAATCAAGAAAGCGTTGATGCAGTTTCTCGAGCAGCATTACCTCTACGATTCCTAACACGGCTTTTGAAGTGGCAGGTCCTGTCTCACGAATCTGCTCCTTTAACTCGAACGCTGGACCAAAGCACGCCACGAGGGCAATGCGGTGCACGCCATTTACATCGACTTCAAAAAGGCCTTCGATAGCGTTCCTCATCAACGCCTCTTGCACAAACTGCGCAACGCAGGAATGCTTGGACGCATCGTTGTATGGATTCGGAGCTTTTTGACTAAACGATCCCAAAGAGTGCAGGCCGGGCACCAACAGTCCTCAGAGGTAAGCGTTGTGAGTGGCGTCCCAGAAAGCTCAATCTTAGACCCACATTACTCCTCCTTTTCATAAATGACTGCATCAGAGACTTAGACTGTGATGTCATCCTGTTTGCTGAGGACATAAAATTGTGGAAATTTATTCGTAGTGCGACAGACGGGACCATCTGCAAACAAACTCGAACAGGCTCGAGGACTGGTCGAAGCGCTCGGTTATGCCCTTCAATGTAAACAAGTGTAACTTTCTTCAACTCGGTAGCTGCAGAGCCTTCAACCCCAAGACTTACCTTCTTCAGAGCACACCACTGCAACAAGTTGACAGTCAGAAGGACTTGGGTTTGTCGATTACATCCTCGCTCAAAGCAACACTGAACTGCGCGAAGGCGGCTAAGTCGGCCATGGCAACATTACAACTCACTAGGCGAGCCCTTATGGAATTTAACAAGGAAAACTTTGTTCAGCATATGTGGCACCTTCGTGCGGCCTCATCTAGAATACACCAAACAGGCATGAGACCTTGGAATTTCAAGGGCTATACCGTCTTGGGGAAGGTCCACAGACGGGCGACGAAAATGACAAAATGTCTGGGGGCACTGCCCTATGAAACCAGAGTGTCAACTCTCAACCTGTTTCCCCCTTCGTACAGACAACTACGCGATGAACTTATACTAACATTCCGCATTATAAACGACCTAAATTGTTGCTAAGTTCCCACTGATTTTTTCACTCGGGCTAACACGTCCACTCTGCGCAGTCGTCCCCTAAAACCACGCGCAGGTAAAGCAAGGATCAATGGACGAAGGATTTTTTTCAGTAACAAAATGTTGCCGAATGATGCTGTACTCTACTCCTGCGTGGATTCATTTACGTGTGGACTCGGCGCGTATCAGGCTTCCCAATTATCGGTCACATATTCGCTCACGTAAGCCGTCACAACTTATATATGTCTATATTATTTACAATGAGTGAGTAACCGTTCATGTTTACTATTTTCGACTAGCTGTATGTTGCCTGCCCTTCGCATTAAAATTTATTAACATAAGGCTTTACCTGGCTAAGTTCTACATCCGGCGACTGCGTAAGAGCACATGAACCGAGTTGCACAACACCATCAGATTTAAGCGGCGTTGAAGGTGTTTCCCCAAGAGTCAGCAAAGTTCCCATTGTGCCAGACGCCGGCAAAGGGTCTGTGGACAAAGTGGCGGGCTGGGCGGCTGGAAACATCCTCTCTTGTACCTGTCCCGGTAGGGCTGTCGGGGAAGATTTGCTCGAACCACTGTCTTTCATCTCCGGTGTAGCTGAAGGCGAGGACTTGAGTGGGACTGAGCGACCCACACCTCGCTGTTGCTCGGCCATGTGCTCCTGTAGCTGCTGTTGTTGCTCCATGAGGGTGTAGTGGCCTGCCTCTTTGGCAAAGCGTAGCTTTAGTGGGGGACCAAGTGAGCTGGCACTGTTCGGAGAAACGGAGGAAGGGCCGGACTGATCGCTGTGTGCGCTCACCTGAATACTAGGCAGAGGGGTGACAGCAACGCATGACGCGGCAGAGAAGCGACGGGTGATGGGACTCGAAGTCGTTCCCTCAAGGTTACCAGGGCCACCAGTCACGGTGGCAGTAACAACAGCGGTGGTGTTGGTGGTGGTGGTGACAGCGGTGGCACCCAGTGTTCCATTGTTGCCCGCGGCGCAAACACCGACTGTGGAGTGCGGCAGGGGCGGTGAAAGGTCCTGCTCCTCATCATCAAATGCGTAAGGGTCTTTTTTGGTACCTAGTGAAGGCGAAGAAATGACGGGTTACAATTTTTTAACAAAACCAAAACTATTTTATTATTGTGGCACCATAAGTAATTACTGTTTGCACGGGTCATGGAGATCCAAGAGAGAAGTAGTTATTTAGAGGACTGTAGGTCGTTCCATGTGTTCATTTGCAAGTGACAGTCACTCCATTCTGACCCTTCCTGGCTCGCAGTTCCCAAATATGGTCCTACGAAGTTATCCTGATAGCAGTGGCCACTGTTAAATAACGGCTTTAACTACCGAGCTAAGCCAGATGAGGATAGCCTATACCGTCTCACCCAACCATAGCGAATTTCTCTGCGAAGCTTGCTTTGACTAGAGTAGAAGTGCTGTGGTACTTGTTGAAGGAAGCTCAAGGCCAGGCCAATCACAGTGCATTATCTCATTGCTAGTGCTATTGGCCTTCCTGTGGAACGCAGTGGGTGTGGGAACATAGTGGGCCAAATGCTGCGTTTGGGGGTGTGGTGCGCGTCGTCGCGTTAGACCAGTGTCTCTAACTCCTATTAGCTCGCGACACATTTGTCAAGGCAAATTTTTAATCACAATATATAACAAGTTCCGATACCAACCGAAGGATGTGCATTTGAGGATTAGTAAACTAATCACCTTAGGTAATGTAGTGTAAGGAAGGCTAACACGAAAAGAGAGTTAGTTTTTAAAAAAAGCGAATGCACCGCTGAGGACCATCGTGCAACTCACTTACTTCCAATCATGGTGAATGGTTGTAGAGGAAATACAACATCAAAACTCCCAAGCATTTCTTCCAAAAGTCCAGAGTCTCAAAGCAAGTCTTGATGAATGATGGCCTGAATGACCAGAAGATTCTTCGAAATAGTCTGCACATACTGCAAACGTGGTCTGCGATATAGGTCCTAGATTTCAAGGTGAAAATTGTACCATCCTACATCCGCGTCCGGCCAACTAGCACCCAAAAGTCAACATGAAGGCATATTACCTGAGAGACATCTAACTTCCCACTAAATCTTCGTAGAAGAATCTCAGTGTCTAGATACCGAGCCATCCGACAGCACCATTGCAATGCGTCAAGGCTGCGAAAAAAACTTCACGGGAGCGCTGCACCCTATCACAGGACGTTCGTAGCTTTCGACAAAGACCACCTTTGTCCAACCTCACCTAGAATACGGCATACAGGGGTGGCAGCCATGGCTCGAAAAGGACATAATGTCTCGAGAAAGTGAAATGTCACGCAGTGAAGCTAATAAGAGGTTTAGAACAACGACTTTATATAGAAAGATTGAAGTGCCTTAATCTATTACCTATGCTACGGGCAGCAAAGATGTGATTTTATCTTAGTTTACATGATAGTGCATGGTCTTGAACGAGGACTGCAGGTTAGGGACAGGTTTCAGTGCCGCCTCTGACCTTATCCTCGTGGACACCCGATGAAGCTACGCACAAGTGTCCAGGTTGAACCTTCGTTATGAGTTCTTTACGTAATAAGGCGATGCTACTTAAATGGCGCGAATACTATAGTAATAGGGACAATATTTCAGAATGCGTGTATGGTTGTTTGTAACATACCGGCAAGTGAAAATAGGATTTTCGAAGACTTTGTCTATTACCTTCAGCAAACAAACTGAAAAAATGGACTGAACGAATTCTACTGCTTGAAATAGTTCCCCCTTAGTACCATCGGATCTCCGACGACGCGTTCGAGTACCAGCGTGGAACATCAGACTATAAAACCAGCCTTCTCAGAGACAGCTAAGCACAGTGAAGAATACATCTAACTTCTTCGCATATGTGAAGTTTTTCTCGTAATTCGGACAGAAAAACGTGATTATTGAGTGTTTGTTCTGAAACGAGTCAAGTAATTATCTGCAAGCTCTGAATTACTATATTCTGCATCAAAAAAACTTTTAGCTACAACATATATACATAAAATATTTTACTCAATAGCTTAAAGACATACGGTGAAAAGGCCATTCAGACATAGCCCTCTGTGAAGATTAAAATAGCTCAACTGAACTCATCTATTCAAGCTAGACTAAAGAGATCACAATGGACGATGTTAGGCCAAAATAGATCTGGATACTATCTACCTCTGTCGTTCAACAAAGTTAATACCTCTACCGTACCAGACAGAAGAGTTGGCGTCTGTACATGCAAATGACCAGTACAAGTCGTGTAAAAAAGTTAAAATCTGTATGTTTGCTGCATGTTCAGACTACTAACTTCAAAATGCATTAATTTCCCCCTGAATCATTGTACTTCACATACTCGATCGTCCAAGGTGAGCTCCAAGTGCTTCCGGTGCTTTTTCATTTAAGCTGCTATTTCTTCTGGAGGCTTGGGAGCTCGGACCTGACGCTATTTGATCTTTCGGCGAGTTCGAAGAACGGGTTCGATGAGAACCGTGGGCAGCGTTCGAGTCCCCTGTGGCCGAGGAGGACTGATGGTGGTGGTGGTGATGATGATGAAAGTGAGCGCCATCTCCAGACGCTTTACCGGCTGGTGGATTCGACCTGTGACTTGCGGCTGCGGCGACGGCACTTGCGGAGTTGGTCTCAGCTAATGTCGAGTCAGTTAGTTTTGGGTGCTTTGTATGCTCGCCGCGAGAGGAGTGCTCAAAAGGTGACAAGTGTTCCGACTTTGGGCGGTAGCCAGGGTCTTTGCGTTCTTCCGCAAAGGATCCGCGGCGTTGTCGACTGTTGGATTCACTTCCTGACTGGGACTGATGATGATGATGGTGCGAACGTTGATGACCCTCGTGGGATGAAAAGGAACGGGAGCATGTGATAGGAGGGGATGATGGTTCATGCTTTTTGGAGACAAAGCCAAGCTGACTGGAATGGGAGCTTTCGGAGGAATCTTCAATCTGCAAGAATACGGAAGGGAGGCCGTGGTCAGAAGAAACTGCAAATCCAGGCATAACACCAAACAACGGTATAAAGGTCTCCGACCTTTGGTGGTTAGGAAGACATACATACAGACCAGGGGAAAACGAGATTTCAGTATTCTATTTGGGCTTCAGTAAATTATTCGGAAGTCATGAACAATCGTTTATCGCCTATTGATATGACATTCTAGTAGGGACACAGACATTAAAACATTTGCCTGGAGGCGAAATAGAAGTCACAAAAACTCGAATTAACATGTGCCAATGAAACCAACGTATAGCAAAGAGACGCCTTCGGTCTTTAAGATTTTTTATTTGACGACGAGATTAAGGTTTTGGACTATGGTAGTGTCGCAAAGTTGAACAAGCCCCGTCCTACCAACGGGTGAATTTTGGACTTCAATATGCAACTTTTTCACCAATAATTAAGGCAAACTATGGGAAATAAAAGTAATGAACGGAAAACGCTCGTCGGAAGACCGCAACAAACCCGGGTAAGCCGCCCACAAATTAATCTAAATTGGTCGGCCGACGCGAAATAAAACCGCCGTCTAACGCGTGTCACACGAGTGATCGGTTTTTGAAGACGTGGGAGGCGACGCAAAATTCGCATTAAGAGGATAGTGAGGATTAGCAGAACCAGCTCTGCGCACCGGCAGACGTACTATTTAAATCACACACCGCTGCCACTGGTAGAGGTTTAGAAGGATCTAGGTGTGTGGATAACATCTTCACTTAAGCCATCATTCCACTGCTTGAAGGTAGCGAATTCCGTAATGCTCACCTTATATCACATCAAGCGGGCATTTGCGAAGTTCGACCAATAGTGCTTTCGCAAGGTCTTCAGGATGTTCGTGCGCCCACATTTAGAATTTTTCATTCAAGCCTGGAGACCTTGGTCTGTCAAAGATCGTGCAACCCTCGAAAAATTCCAACGACGGACAACCAAGCTTGTCAGAGGTCATAAAAACCTACCTTACGATACTAGACTGTCAAATCTCAACCTCTTTCCCCTGGACTACACACAACCACGTGGCGGCTTAATTCAAACGTTTCTAATGCTACGGGATCAGGGTTGCTGCCTCGCATACGGCGACTCCTTTCAGCTGGCCACTACTACTAGCTTGAGAGGACATCCTCTGAAACTACGTGTGGCAGGAGCGAGACTGAGCCCAAGGAGGTCCTTCTTCAGCCACAGAGTGGTAAAGGCATGCAATGCCCTGCCTGTGGACGTCGATATGTCCTCATCCGTGGACTCATTTAAGAGAAAGCTCGACCAGTAGAGATATGGATCTCCACGGCATCAGAAACTAACAAATTTTACCGTTTACCACCCACTCAGTTTTACGTTACAAAATATTCTACTCCCTATATTTAAGTAGCATCAATTTTGAATACTCTTTACCCCTGGCTGAAGCACAGGCGCTTGCTTCGATATTACTTGGTCCATTCGGTGCCGTGTACTGGATATGATACAATTTTGACGTACATTCCCAGACAAATTTATACCAGTAACCATTGTTTGTTGTATGTAGCTGCTTACCTAATTTTCTTTGGCACTTGCCCTACACATTGTTTTTTGATGGCGTTATTGTAACCAAAAGGGAGTTCAAAGGCGCTCGCCTACCTTTCCCTTAATAAATCTGATCTGATCTGTCTGACGTTCGTTTCAGGGGGGTGGGACCGGGTTGAAATGCCAGCTGGAAGCATTTCAAGCCACGAATTTTACCACATCACGACAGGTTTAGGCATGTCAGGTTTATAGCAAGGATAAATGTGCGGAATTGTCACGGAATGGTGATATTGCAGTGACGAAGGATGGGAGTAGCTGGCCCACTAATGACGGTGTTTCATTGTGCGGAAAATGAATTGGCAGTGTTAGCATGGAGGCGAATCCCAAGACATCCAATTAGGTCGATGCGAACCTTGGATGCGTCGTTTTGACAGACTGCGTGTTGGCAGTGTTGGTCAGTGGCATTTCAGACTTACCCGGCAGTTCCTTTGCCCTGGTTTCCTCCATTCCGTTGGCCTCCAAGATGGGCATCCCCGTTTTTACGGATGTGCTCTGCGCCTTTCGGTTTCGTAGAAGCCCTTGAAGGGAGTATGCATGAATGCATTCGAGAGCCAGGGGCTGGACCCCTGATGGTCCTATTGGTGTACAGTTTTGGTTATAAATGCAATTATATGCGGTCAGCATAAAACGTGGCCTCTAACAGTGTGCACGGAGACATTTTACACCCAAGGCGCGGTGGTGTGATACACGAGGAAGTAAATCTGGAAGTAAAGTTCATAGCTGGCCGTGGATAATCTTGTCATGAGAGACGTTGTGTAACAATAAGTAAACAATCAAGTTGCCTTTTGAACATTGCCACGGAAACAGAAGTCATGATTCGTTGGGGAGTTTTGCGGTCGAACAACCCGCTGGCTGAAAGAGAAATTTCGTTGGTAGAGGCCACCTGGTGTGTGTTCGCAGTGACTGTTCGATAAAAGAGTCGTCTCTGAACGTGCACGTCTGTCGTCACGATGTGGTCGTTTCATCGTCGTTGGGTCTGCCGCAGTGTAGCATAGGCGCTCAGTATGCTACTCAAGTCCAGGACCTGGGGATCTGACATGTGCGCCTGTCTTCTCACCGTTAATTTGACGGCAGCGCAGTGGAAGTAGTTTAGTTTTCGGGTCTGACTTTAGCAGTATGCCTAGGTTGAAGCGCCGTAGGGTAGCGTCGTCAGAATGATTTACATGTATATCCTGAGTGTCATGTTGGGTAGTGTTAACGTCTGTCCAAAGTCTGACTGGCTGTAAAGATCCGGATTGGAATGTCGTCCAATTTGCGTGGTCTGCGAGATGTCGCTGTCCAGATAGGATAATGTCTCTATCACAATGAAGCGACTGCTACTGAAAGCTGTCGTCGGTTTGGTGTATTCGGAAACTGGCGCCGGTTCGGGCATGACAACCGTATTTTGCACGTTGGTTAGTCAGAAATTGGTGCATCAGGAGCCCAATAAATTCAAGCTAATTTGCATGTTCTCTTCAGCTGTGACACCCAATGAACACATTTTTGCAAGGAGGAAGTCATATATTTTGGCTTTGGGAGTTTTTGTGACGACCTATATACAGCCTTTGTTGGACAGTTTCTGGCCGTTTCGACAGTTAATGTCGATGCCTGGTCTATCCTCGTGGTCCGCATCTAAATTTCAAGAGACATGAAGCCGAAGAGAGATGGGACGAAGACGCAGTAATGCTCCACCCCACTTGCCATGGTTGAGGCCGTCGTTGCCGATTTATCACGCATCTTATTCTGTCATCATAAAGCTGTGACCACCGTCGTGAACCGTCTGCAACGTCTAAAGCTCAGCATAATAGTCTATAGTTGATCGCAATGCACGACATCGAAGGCATTGTGCACGCAAACGGGCTTGGTTGTAGGTGTGCTGGCTGAGGACGGGACAAGACTCCCTTCTGCCACGCGTTTGTCGGACTGCGCTGGATTGGTGCAGCGCGTCCAGTATCATCCCCGGTTGTTTGACTGGCTCAGACAGTCGACTGGTGCATTACAAGGGAAAGAGAAGGCGAGGTAAACACCTGGGAATCATCCCTCATGGAAAACTAGCGCATTCCTCGGTATAATCAAGCTTCTGCGCGTGAATCTACCACGACAGGATGAACGTTGCGGCATGAAAGGCTGAAAACTGACATAGCAACCTATTCCTTCTTAGGACAGAGGGTCGAACTGTGATGGTTCGTTCTTGATGTGGCCCTTATGACGCCTTCACTTATATGAGATCTGAAACCACCTCCCACCCCCACTGCGGCCCAGTATATGAGGCGTAGGTTCACGTGGTGCGTGCGACACGCGTAGATGGGATGTTCAGTTTCATCAGCCACAAGGTCCACATTTACCTCCGGTCGCCCTGACTTTGTCCTGCCATCGAATCACGATGAGCCCGGGTGAGGGGAGTGAGGTGGATGCAACGAAAGTCTGAGTCGCTGTAAACACATTCACGCGCAAGTCACCGCCCACGCCCACCTCATTGAGCAGCTGCGGACGTTTTTGTTTGTTACGGTATAGAGGCCAACTCTCAAATTCTGGCGCCTTTCCTACAATCGCCGTGTAACAAAAATCGGATCGTCCATTTCATGGATTTATTGTTTTTTTAGATTTGTCGGCTTTATTTGCCTTCGTATAGGTGAAAAGTGGTTTTGTTCTGTCGCAAGTCATCTGGGAAAACGGAGTACAACCTGCCCATTAATTAAGGGTTAGCATATTTGTAAATTTCAACTGCAATTCGTTTGGCGCCTGGGAATCTTCTATTGGGCATCTGTTGCAATACCCTGATTGTTTTCGGAAAAAAGGCGTGCGGTCGAGGGCAGCATTCGCACTTTTATGGCTTCCTCGCAGCTTGCAGATAGTTCGTTGATGACGTACCTGAAGCGCTCAGGTGCGTACTTCAAAATTTGCGATTTTTTGTCATTATAGTTGTACCATCTATGCTGATTGGAGGCGCAGTTCTTGTGAGTTGGCGGTCACAGACTGGCTTGGCAGGCTGGTGTTTTATTTCACCTAGGATTTCATCTGCATTAATAATCCCTTAACCTCTGTTGTAGTTGACGACATTGGAGAAGTAGTACAATATTTCAAGCTGTGTTGTTGCATTTGATCATGCAAAGTTGGATTGCCTCAAATACCAGTCAGTGTATTTCATCCTCAGTGTTATCAAGTCGGTCTTGATATTTTCAGCTCACAGGTTCGGTGGCTTCCATGCCAGTGCCATGAGTGGCATTCCGCGGTCTGCCAATTGTGCCCAACGTCTTTATACCCGAAGATTCGCACGTCGTCCGGATTGGTACCCATTATGTCGACAGGTTGCCGTCTGTTTACGGCCAGTGCTGCCATGTTGAAGTTCGCTGGTGACCTTTCCCCCTAAGGTCTTCTTCGTGATTGGATTTGTAGCCTCATTTCTGAAGAAACCAGGTGATGGTCGGCCCACCAATCGGCAACACATCCTGCCTTTTTCACGAGCACGTCAGAGTGTTCATGTCACTTGAAAAACACGAATTTTAACAGATGCCACTGATAAGATCGAGGGTGCGTCCATGATGTGTCGCTGCGATGGAAGAACCGAAAGATGGTGTCGGTGACGAGGAGGCTGTGTTCGGTGAATCAACGAATGATCGAAGACATTAGCTCGCCGAATTCGACTTCTTCAGTGAGACGATTTAGTTCTGGATAAAACACCTGTTAAGCAGTTTGGATGCCCCAAGTTTGGTCGAAACCGTGGGCTGTGTGGAAAAGTATGCAGGACTGAGCCAACTTTTTAAAAGAGGAATACCTGCTACCTTTGCATACAAAGTCGGAGGGGGGCGTCATTTCCCACAAAACAAACGCGAAAGGTAAAACTTCTAGGCAGGAAGTATGACTAAACTTGAACGCGCACAGAGGATGGATGGAGGACATACACTATCCAAGTGCCGATGTTCCGCGGCTATAATTTACGCATGGAGACTGGAAGTAGTCCGATGAATTCAGCATTCTACTGCGTAGGAACTAGCTTGAGACTATGTCCCATGATCATCAATATGACAATCTTACTAAGGTCGTCTTTTCTTTTTGAAGTCGCACTCAAATATTTCGGGCAAGATTTTATTACTCCTGACGTTTGCCTTTGAGAAGAGGGGAAAACAAGAACGGGAGTGCTGGGGATGCAGCAGTGTCCCCATTTCCACGAGTATCGGACCGATTTAGCATAATGGGCCTCGGCGATCGGACCAGCCCCTTTATATGCTTTAAATGAGTTATTGCTAGGGCAACATCGTTCACTAAGTGATTACCAGATTGAGGAAGCAAGGCGTGACGCGGAAGTTCATTTCGATATTTGCCCGACAAGTCAGGGCAACAGAGGTTGTTAGCTTTGGTTACTGTTTTCATGTGAAATTGCTTGCGAAAGAAGTAAACTGTTTGTCCATAGACAGGATGGTCTTGATGGTTTACAGACTCTAATTGCCTTGGACACACTCGTACACATAATTTCGGCTTTAAAAGACAATTTGTTTGTCTGTCTAACATAGCCGGTCGGATGCAGATGCTGCACGGTCCCATAAGGGTAGCGCCTTCACCTATCTATCCTGACTAACGGACGGAAGCGGACATTTCTCGATTGGCGATTGTACAGCCCATCTTCTGCTGACGAATATCTCATCGGGATCTTGGGCCACGCAAGTAAGCATAAGTAATTCCAGTTTCCAGACAGTCTGCCTCCCTTCCTAGTCCAAACATGAAATAATGCCGTAGACTAAAATGACGCTGCCCACTACTTTCAGCATTTCGCTATAAACCGTCGGACGCCATCATTGCTGACTTAAATCAGTGAAATCGTCAGACGCTGAAAATATGGAAGTCATTAAGTGGAACGTGTTATAATCAGCAACATTACCCAGCACAAACCGCTTGTTTCTACTTTTAGAAACAGACACACTGGTAAAGAACTTTATAAGCGAAATTCAGAGAGAACAGATGGTCACCTTATGCATTTGCAGCATACCCAAAAGCCCTACAAAGTTCCTATGCCCATATGGCAGTGGATGCATGATAAATGCATCCTAGACTCGTTCTAACTTTGCCTATTCCTGATCGGCAATTTTCAAGGTAAAATTTCAGCATCAACGGACAGCGGACTTATTTCCGTCCTTGCAGACGGGGACGACAGTGAATGCATAAAATACAGTAGTTTTGTTAACTCATGAAATGTTAACTGAAATTCTGAAATGCGTTTTCATTTCGAAAAGATTACTTAAGTAGAGTTTTAAAATTAATCATCGTGCAGCATAATTCTATAATAATTCAGTTGCATCGAGATGCCGGCTTTCGAACAAACTCCTTTCCGGCCGCATGCAAAAACCACACTGTGACAAATGGCTACCCAAGTAGCATGAATTTTCCTCAGTGATTTTGGATGCCCTCAAAAATACAATTATATTTCATGGAAAACATGCATAAAAATATTCATTCTCTTACTCATTCGGTAGAAAAGGGCATCTTCTACTTTTATACTCAAAGGAAGGGTATGCTTCCTTTTTTAAAAACTTTTCGAATTCCCGAATGATTTTGAACCTGACCTGCCGTTACACTTGTATTCTGGGCTTCCAAACTACAAGCCGCATATTTTCTGCGTATGGAAAACCATACATTTCTCTAGGGCATTAAGAGGAGACCAAAAGGGTTTCATGAAATCTAACAGTGGATTGGAGCCATATTGTAAACTTTACAAGCAACATTAGTAAATGCAGAGACACGATCTTTTATGAACGGGCATTTCAGGCTATTAAAAAATCTCATAATTAGGAACTTTCTTAAAACCGAATTATACCCTCCCTTAGTGTATTAAAGAAGAAATAATTTTCTACCGAATGAGTAAAATAATGAATATTTTTATGCATGTTTTCCATGACATATAATTGTATTTTTGAGGGCATCGAAAATCAATGAGGAAAATTCATGCTACTTAGATAGCCATTTGTCACAGAGTGTGGTTTTCGCATGCGGCAGGAAATAAGTTCGATCGAAAGCCGGCATCTCGGTGTAACTGAATTGCTATAGAATTATGCTGCATGATTATTAATTTTAAAACCATACGTTAGTGATCTTTCCGAAACGAAAACGCATTTCAGAATTTTAGTTAACATCTCATAAGTTAGCACACCTGTACTTTCAGAACTTTGTTCGAGGTCCACAGTGCCTTAATGAAACGAACGAATGGACGTGATATAGCATCGTCCCGGATATGGATGCCCGTGGAAGCCCATCTAGTATTGGAATTTCGCATGCCTCGAGAAGTCCTAGTTATCAGTTTAGCTTGATTAAATCAGGGTGCTCGACAGAAAAAAGCGTAGATTCATGATGAACCATGCTCGCGATAACGAGGACGACGTTCGGTGTTCGAGGCGGCGTAGCTACAGAATTAGAAGACTCCTTAATATAATACCTGAATCAATATCGGCGAAACTCTTAAAAGGGTGATATGGAGCACCGGGACGGTGCTACATTTCTTTACGTGAGGTTAGTTTGCAAGAAGGACTGCATCGCAAGAGGACTGTATACATATATATAAAGGCCCACCTGACGAAGAATAGTCGCACTCAGTTCGTTCGGACATAGGTCGATAGCCCGATCACCATTGCCATTAGATATTTTCGGATCGGCGCCGTGACGAAGCAGAGAGCGAATGACGCGGACATGGCCGGCCTGCGCCGCTTCATGCAAGGCAGTATTACCCCGTGCCGCCTTTAGGTTGGGGTCAGCATTATGTCTCAGTAGGTAGGCCACGACACGCGAGTGGTTTCGACTGCTACACTCATGCAGAGCTGTCCGACCTTGGCAGAGACAAGAAAAGCAGTACATTGCACGGCAAATATAGAAAATTGGCCTAAGAGGCACACTACGAGAAACTAGTTGATGTGGCTCGGAAGGGTAGAGGGGCGAAATGAAGACAAAATACGCACACCTACCGGAGGAATCCTGTTCATTTATATTCACACCCTCCTTCAAGAGAATCTTTATGCCCTCCAGGTCGCCCTTTTTGGCCGTCTTCATGAGAGGCGCCTCGTGGCCAGGGGTCTGCCTCAGATGAGAGCGCCTATCTGTCATAGACGGACTGTTGTCGGCACACAAGACAGTAGTGGCCGGTCGAGATTTGTGTTCTCGTTGCTGTTGCTGCTGCTGTTGGCTCTCCGTAGAGGCAGAGAAAGAAGGATGGTGTGGATGGCGCTGGTAGCCGAGGGAGTTGGGGGCAGGGTCAGGAGTGGCCTGTGGGGGCGACATAGAGTAACCAGGCGGTGGTGGTGGTGGCGCTGAAAAGGAGGGTGGCGTTGAAAAGAGGCTGGCATTACTGCCATGCGAAGTGGTGGGTGTCAACGCTACACGACTGGATGAGGATTTTGACAGAGAAGCAGCAGAGGCAGGGTCAGGCCGTGTGGATGCGGATGTGCTCCTCGGCGTCAACGCGGAGGGGCTCCTCTTTCCCAGCATCTCCTGGTCGGAGTTATTACGGTCATATAAGGCAGTGCCGCTGGATGATGGAGTGCTAGGGCTATCCCATTGAGAGCTTGGCTTGGTAGCTGGAGAATAATTAACAAGACAAGCTTAAAAACTTTTCCATATAAAGTATTAGGAACAAAGCTTCGATTCAGCAGGAAAAAAAGAATATAAATGAACTAACTTCGATCAGACGTGAGTTCCCGGTTCTCCATTTGTTTCAACAAGGCAAACTGTTGTCTTTCAGAAACAGGGATGTGGCCACGTGTTTTTGAAGACAAAGAATGCTGTTGGATAGGCGATGAGTCTTCGCGCCTCTTTTTGAAAGGTGGCGCTGTAAAAACAGGTATAAGCATTAATTCACTTCAAAAAAGCTGCAAGTAAAACTATGTTACTTAGAGCAAGCACTGAGTGTGTGCGTGTGTGTGTATGTGTATGCCCCACAAGCGGCCACGTGGTAGATGCAATGGGCCAGTATGGGGGCCATATCGGATTCTGACAAACGTTACAGGAATGAGCAACAAATGCCAACATTCGGGGTGAGGTAGAAGACCCAGTAGCTATCAGACGTCGCGCACACAGGGACCCCTGCGGCCATCCCCATTGTCTCTGTTGGTAAAAATGCTGCCGCTGACGAGAATGCCTCCGTGGAGAACCGGTGGTGTCAACTGTGGGACACAGTCCAGTCGACGGCCCCGGCAGTCAACGGTTACGCACAACGCCAACATCAGGACTCGCTGGATAACAACGAAGTCGCCATCGGCAACCTACTAGCCAAAATGAACCGCCTGCACAAATCCTACGTCAAACGTCCCATCGATAAAACCAAATCAGCCATCTACCTTAGTGGCCGCCTTGTGCGACCGCGGCTGTGGAAGATGCGGGACGCTTGAACGACTCGCAAGGCCCAGGAGATCCAAGACTACGCGGACCGCAACGAATGGAAGAATTTATTCTCCGCGATCAATGCTGTCTACGGTCCGCCAACCAAAGCAGCTGCTCTTATTCTCAGCGCCGACGGCAGTACCCTACTCACAGAGAAGAAAAATTCTACAGCGATGGGCTGAACACTTCAAGCGTCCTCAACCGTCCCTCCGCCATTTCCGACGCCGCCATCGGCCGTCTGCCACAAGTGCAGACCGACATCGACCTCGACCTCCCGCCTTCGCTCCACGAAAGCATCAGCGTGGTGCAGCAGCTCCCCAGCGGGAAAGCGCCCGGATCTAACACGATCCCTGCTGAGATCTACAGGCAAAGTTGCCCTCGATTCATTGTCCATCTGACGGCGCTCTTCCAGAAAATGTGGTGTCAAGGAGAAGTCCCGCAGGATTTCAAAGACGCCACAATCGTGCATTTCTACAAGCGGTAAGGAAACCGCTAGATCTGAGACAACCAACAAAGCAACTCCCTTCTGGACATCGCCAGGAAGATCTCCGCTCGCGTCCTTCTCAACCGCCTGAATAATCACCTGGAACAAGGTCTTCTGTCGGAAAGCCAGTGCGGCTTCCGTCGTCATCGTGGGATCACCGACATGATCTACGCCGCCCGCCAACTTCAGGAGAAGTGCCAGGAGATGTGGACCCATCTTTACTCTACCTTCGTGGATCTGACGAAAGCGTTCAAAAGAGTGAATCACGAGGAATTGTGGAAAATCATGCAGAAATCCGGCCGTCCCGAACGATTCACCCAGATGGTGCGTTAGCTCCACGATGACATGATGGCACGAGTCACAGACAATGAAGCTGTCTGAGGGGCATTTTCCGTGACCAACGGAGTGAAGCAGAACTGTGTCATCGCGCCTACCCTCCTCATTCTCATGTTTTCTGGCATGCTGGTGGACGCCTATCGTGACGAACGCCCTGGGATCCGCATCGCCTACAGGACGAACCGCCAACTCCTCAACCCTCGGCGGATGCACTTCCAGTCGGGTGCACCCACAACCACCGTCCACGAACTTCTCTTCGACAACGACCGCGCCCTCAACATCAGCTCGAAAGGCGACATGCCAAGGAGCATGGATCTCTTCTCCGCCGCCAGCGACAACTTCGGCCTGGTTATCAACACAGATAAAACGGCGGTTATGCACCCACTGCCACCCGACGATACCTACGTCGCACCCAAAATCATCGTGAACGAAGCCAAACTACAAGTCGTAAACAACTTCACGTATCTGCGCAGCACCCTCTCCCGCAACACCAAAATCGATGATGAAGTGACCCGCCGGATTTTCAATGCCAGCCACGCCTTTGGCCGTCTGCAAAGCGCAATCTGGAATCGCCAGGGTCTTCCCCTCGGCACCAAACTGAAGATGTATAAAGCGGTCATCCTACTGACGCTATTGTACGCAGCGGAGACCTGGACAGTGTACAAGACGCAGGCGCGAAGACTCAATCACTTCCACCTCAGCTGTCTTCGACGGATGCTGAAGCTGAGGTGGCAGGACCGGATCCCGGACACTGACGTACTGGAAAAGACGGGAATTATCAGTATCTACGCCATGCTGAGACAATTACAACTGGGCTAGAGCCGCCACCTCGTGCAGATGAATGACAAGCGGCTCCTCAAACGGCTTTTCTATGGAGATGTCGCCACGGTTTCTCGTCGACAATGAGGTCAAGTCCGACGCTACAAGGATACTCTGAGGACCTCCTTGAAACGCCTGCAGTCCAACCCAGCCAACTAGGGACACCGCGTACGGAATCGACCGGCCGGCAGGAGGTCAGAGAAGACAGGAGCAGCGCACTCCCCCCACCGATGGGACGCCATCCGACGGTCCATGCCTGTCCTTATTGCGATCGCACATTCATCTCACACACCGGCCTGGTCGGTGACTTGCTCATGAAGTCCATCGCATAGACTGGTGAACCAGTGCCTGGGGCAACAACTTACGCTCGCCGCATACGCCTTTATTGTCCGCACTGCCTCCGCACATTCACTCACTGCATGAGCCTACTAGCTTATATGCGCATTCATGAAAACCTGCGCAGACAACCACCGGCGACACCACACCATCACACCTTCCCCCACCAGCACCTGCACCACAATACAACATAACCCATCAACACGCAACATAAAGCACTCAACTACCCCATCTCACGCAAGTGAGAAGTGTGCTTCTCGACTCCCTCTCCATGTGGCTACTCTGCTGTACGTGTGATCCGAGTCTGAGATGATCACGGTGCGCCAAGCGCCGTAGTTTGGACGGCTGCCGACGGACGCCTCGACCCAGTCCACGCAGTCTGTCCAGTCGACTGTTTGTGTGGAGTGGCGGACTGATGGGCTGACAGTCAGGCTGTAACGCCTCCTTAACGTGACCTCTGGCACTCTCACGTATGTAAGGCGTATGTGTGTGTATTTATAGGTAGTGCCTCTCAGTCGATGACTGACTGGCTACCCGGCCTTTGTAGGGTGATGGTCCAGGCTAAGTGCAGGACTGCTTGTCACCTTTCCGGACCCTAAGCTTTTTTTGTGTCAACTATACCATGATTTAGCAAGCTATGGCCTTCACAGACTGGTGTGTGCTGGCAGTTCTGTGGCACCTGGTTGCCTACTGGTAGATGAGCTCGCGCTCCCGCTGGATATACAGGTCATGCGCATTGTTGCCCAGTCGTCCTCCCCTCTCTGGACCGTTGTTGTGGTGCTTTTGGTTAAAATCCTGGTCGAGTGTTTGCTGTGAACCAGGGAATGTGGTGCGACGCCTAGGTGGCGGTCGGCCTTGCCAGCAGCCTGCGCCCTTTCGCGGATCCGGTCTTCTTAACTATGTCTTGACATCGGCCGCAGGTGGGAAAGAGAAGGGAGTGCGGTAGATGCCGCGCAAGCCTCCTCTCACTATTAAATAATTCATGCGCAAGTCATCAAGCCTGCTTCACCTTGCTGTGGAGTACGCAATGGACGTCGTCGGACACGACGGTCGAACTGTCGGTAATTCCTTCATTAATTCTCATCACCGCTTCGTAATGTCGTGCTAAGAGTGCAAAACGCAGTCCCTTCGCACCCTAGTCTACTTAGGGTCCTCTTATTACTGAGTCGTGATTCAAAGTGAAATTTGACGCCCGCCTGGGATTACTGAGCAGTCGAATTTACAGGAAACTGTTTATCCACTCGAAGGGAAGGGGGTTAGAGAATGCGCCCTCAAAAGTGCTGGCTGTCAGGTCGTCGGCAAGGGGGCTGCGGCTTATGCACATCGAACAGGTGATCGAAAAATATGCATTAGGCACCAACCTTTGTCTTCATTCCCTTGCCACCTCCAGCAGCTTGCCCGAGTTGCTTTGTTTACTCAAACATCGCAGATTGTGGTCAACACTCAACCTCTACCAATAGGTCTGCGTTGTGAACAGAAATTCAGAGCGCAGGCTAACCACGTTGAACACATTCGGACCTACGATTTCGTCCAATCTCATCCCCACTAGGTTCAACTCGGACAGGCCACTGGCACACGAGATAGGGAAGAGAGAAAAGTCGACGTAGCCCAGACCCAGTACCTAGGCGCTCATTTTAAGCAGCCAAATGCGCTTTTAAACTATCTGAGCGCGCAAATGGATGTGGCTTTCAACGTTATCAACTGACAGGATAACTTTGCCCCACTCAGGACTAAAAGTCAAGCTAAAATTGATTTTTCTTAATGCGGTCTCTACGGAATGTGTATTGTGAGATCGGAGACCCTCCTCCTTCCCTGAAACCTAATTCCTGAATAGCTATGGCCAAGTTGCGCGTGGAGCGTTCAGATGAGCTATTAAAACTTTTAGTCAATGCAGCCATGCTTGTAAACACTCGTGTTGAAATTGTCCAGCCATCTAAGTGCGATGGTGTGGGAGTAGGAGGTGAGTTACATGCTGTGCAAGTCTACCCCACTATAAACTAACTTACACGCATATCCTCTTCGGCCTCCTCCTCCCCTCCCCTTCCCCCACCCAGATACCAAAGGACGCAATCACTTGAGATGCCCGAATCACCCTTGTCAACGTCACTGTTATTTCGGCGAACCCCCAACGTTGTATGCTGACGCGAAAAAGGAGCCCTTTGTGATTGACGTCGGACGGTAGTTGGACTTGGACTAATGCCTGACATGCCATTGCGGGTGACAGAAGTGTTCGGGCGGAAAAAAGGCATGCATGTACGAAGAGTTGCCCTGGTCACTGTGCAAGCACCCGACGAGAACTGCTTCCAGCAAAATATACAATGATTCAACAGCAGCTACACAACGACCACATGGGTCATGATCAGAATTTGACGGACAGATGGCAGCCTCAAACAACAGTGTCGTAATGGTACCCCTGGTTATGCAATTTTGGCGGTCCATTTAGTCTGGGAATATGCGACCCTACAGGCCTAAGACACGCAGCCAAGTTCTCTTCTATTATTTGCTTTTCAAGTAACGATTTAAGCTTTTTCCCAATAAGGTCTTCTAGCGCTTTTGTTTCTTCTTTCTCATGGGC